CACTTGTGGTTCGTGGCTCAGTGGTTGAGAAACTCTGGTCTAAAGTATACTCAAGTTAATGTATTGTTACTTTGGTGAAATATTCTCTGCTGAACATGAATCTGATCAAGAACAAATCACAAATGAGAAAGACGTAAGGTCAGGGATGTGAAATGTCTTGTGATGCAGTTGCTTCCACAAAACTGGCTGGTTTACTGTAATTTGAATCATCATTTATATTGCAATATTTCAAGTCCCCAGTTAATGAATAGAGAAGATTCTCAAGGCAAGAGCGTACAGACCGGACAAACCCAAACAAACATTAACATTCTGTTGTTTGCAGTTGTCCTTAAAATGTCCAGAAAAAGAACTGACAAACCAAATGAACAACAGTGAATAAGGAGAGCACATTCTGAGTGTTTCTGTTTCTTTCAATATCAAAACACAGGTACAGCACACCAAGCAAATGTTTGCGTTTGTTCATGTGAAAGTACAAAGTATTTTATTTTATCCTGGGATCCTGGGGTTATGACATCAGTGTAGTTTTATATACCAAAAACAGTCACAATTTGTCTTTGCATGGCCATTTTCCAACATCTAGTAATCTCTTTACACAGGCTGTTTTTGGCGCTGTGCCTTTAAGACTGAGATATGCAAATGAGCTCTGTTTTAAATGGCTTCCCTGTATTGTGCCTCATTCAAAAAGCAGTCCAGGCTTAATCACTCTTGAAGCTAATCTGCTGAACTAAATGGAGCTAAACTGCTGTAGGCTGAATAGGTGGAAATACACTATATGGCCAAAAGTATGTGGACCCCTGACCAGCACACCTACGTGGGTAAGGGTTGGGGGTCGCCTCCCCCAGTCCTGACCCACTTTGTGGCTATAACAACCTCCACTCTTAAGGTTTTCCACAACATTTTGGAGTGTGTCTGTGGTGTCCCTTCAGTCAAAATAGCTTTTGTGAGGTCAGGCACAGATGTTGAATGAGAGGGCCTGGCTTGCAATAAGCATTCCAATTCATCCCAAAGGTGCTCAGTGGGGTTGAGGTCAGGGCGGTGTGAAGTTCCTCCACACCAAACCTCTCAAACCATGCCTTTATGGACCTTGCTTTGTGCATAGGGGACAGTCATCCTGGAACAGGAAAGGGTCTTCCTGAACTGTTGCCACAAAGTTGGTAGCATTTATTTGTCTAAAATGTCTTTGTATGCTGTAGCATTAACATTCCCCTATACTGGAAGTAAGGGACCTAACCCAAACCCTGAAAAACAGCCCCAGACTATTATCCTTCCTCCACCAAACTTGGCACTACACATTCAGGCAGGTAGCAGTGTCTTGGCATTTGCCAAACCCAGATTTATCCATCAGACTGCAAGAGTGCAGATAGATAGATTTGCTCCAGAGTCCAGTGGTGGCATGTTTTACACTTCACTCCAGCTGCGCTTGGTGTGTAGCGATCTTTGGCTTGTGTGCAGCAGCTCAGCCATGAAAATCTATTTCAAGAAGCTCCCAACGCAAAGTTCTTGTGCTAATGTTGCTTCCAGAGGCAGTTGGGAACTCTGTAGTATGGGAAGCAACAGAGGATAGGCGATTGTTCATGTGCTACATGCTTCAGCACTCGGTGGCCCCTCTTTGTGACTGTTGTTGCTCCTAGATGTTCCTCTTCATAATTATAGCACTTACAGTTGACCAGGGCGCATCTAGCAGGGCAGAAATTTCACAAACTGACTCATGGCAAAGGTGGAGTCCTACGACAGTGCCAAGTCATTGAGGTCTTCAGTATGGTCTCATTCTACTGCCACTTATGCATTGCTATGTTTATACACTACTTTTCACTTAATTTAAAAGTTTAACTTAATTTACATACATACATACATCATCTAAACTGCTTATCCTTATCCTCTCAGGAACTTAATTTAACTTTATTTAAATATAAGTGAGGGAAATTCAGTTTCCCACAGTATGGGGCCTTTAAGCACTGAGGATAAGTACTTATAAGTACTTAATAAGAACAGCTATTCCTCCTCTTTTTAATATTCTTTGGGTCTACAGTAAAATAATAAACCTCAAAAGTCAGTCATGAAATGTTAAAGACTGAAATGTGACTGTATAAAATGTAAAACTTCTTTTCTTACTGATATACTTGCATAGAAGTAAAAGTAATATCAGTTTATATCACAAATCAATCAAAATGTTATTTGAGTAATGTAACTGAGTAATTCACAAACTAGTTTTTATCTTTTAATGGAACCACAGTCAGAAACATAATACAGCAGTGGTCGAAAGTTTGGTGATGATAGAAAGCATACTTTTCATAATTGTAAAGAATTTTGATGTAAGACAAATATACATAATGAAATTGGTGTCTCTGTATGAATGCTTCAGAGAGTGCCAACAGTGTGCAAAGTTGCATTAAGGCAAAGTGAGGCTACCCTGAAGAATCTAAAATCATCACTGATAATTCGTATCTCCAAAATGGTAACTTTATAGGAGAAAGCAAAACAGTCTTAACTTATAATGCAAGTCAATGTAAGAAGATTTTTTTTCTAACTAATTTTGGATCATTTTTATTGGTCCATTCATCATCATCAACTTACACACGCTGTAATGGACGGCTGATATTTTTTTATTTATGTAAAAAAAAACAAACAAACAAAAAACAAAAAAAAATGGAAAATCTCTTTTTGAGTAGGTGTGTCCAAACATTTGACCTTGTACTGAATATTAAATTCAAAAGATGACTTATCAAATAAGCAATATGACAAAACAAGAGACTAGACTGCTTGATTATATGTTTTTTATTAAAATGATCTTGTAGCTATTCAACAGAAATGAACAGCCACATTCCATCAACATACTCAACCTAGTGCATGACTTTAAAGTGCCAGCCAAGAATCACTGAAATGAATAGGCCAGTTTTTTCTACTGTAACAAAGATAATATATAATAGCAAAGCTTCTACTAAAATATACAATGTACTACAACACCTTCTGTTAGTAAACTCAAGCTGATCTATGAGTGGCTGTTCGGATATTCCTAAATGGGGCTTTATTAAACAAACAATGAAAAAAATAACAACCAAAACTGTATAAAAAAATTCTCCAAGCATTTAAACCAAGCTTCAAGTAAGCATACTCTGTTGACCTTGTCTGTGTTCCTTCTGTGTTCCTATATGCAAAAATAACTACAGATTTTATTTGTACAAACAGCATGCGATTACATACAGTACAAAAAATACAGTGTATTCAGTGACACAAGTACTGCTGGAATGTCTGCAGTGAAACACAGAGTTAGTATAATAGTCAGGTCCATAAGTATTTGGACAGAGGCACTTTTTTTTGTAATTTGGAAATGAAATTAGAAATGAAGCAATCAAGATGTGACTGAAGTGTAAAAGGGGTTTAACAAAAATACGTTTTTACATTTTTTACAGTTCCTCCATTTTCACAGGCTCAAAAGTAACTGGACAGTTCACTGATAAGGTGGTCAGGTTGGCCTGTTCTAAGGAGATAAAAGGTAGGAGTGATTCCAGATGCTGAATATGCATTTCGTAGCTGTTCAGGGAAACTCTCAAAAAGAGGTGTTGAAACAAGTGAAGTGGGCCATCATTAGGCTGTAAAATTCAAATCAACAATTTGGTACATTCTTAAAAAGAAGAAATGCACTGGTGAGCTCAACAACACCAAAAGGCCTGGCAGACCACAGAAGACAACTAAAGGGAATTATTGTGGAATTCTTTCCATGGTGAAGGAAAAACCCTTCACAACATCTAGTCAAGTCACGAGCATACTAGAGGAGGTTGGTGTATCATTGTCAAGGTCTACAATCAAGAAATGCCTTCATGAATGTATAAACAGAGGGTTTAACCAAAGAGTCAAACCACCGGTAACACTCACGAACTTTGCTAGAAAACATCTAAAAAGGCTTCCCAGTGCTGGAGCAAGATTCTGGTAGTGTTATGATGTGGGCATGTGGTGTTTATTGATGTGACTGCAGATAGAAGTAGCAGGATGAATTCTGAAGTGTATAGAGCTACACTTTCTGCTCAGATTAAGTCAAATGCTGCAAATCTGATATGCTTCACAGTACGGATGGATAATGACCCAAAACATACCATGAAAACAACCCAAGAGCTTCTTAAGGCAAAAAACGGATTATTCTTAAATGGCAGTCACCTGATCTCAACCCAATTGAGCATGCTTATCACTTACTGAAGACAAAACTTGAAGGCAGAAAGAACCACAAATAAGCAGCAACTGAAGGTGAAGGCAGTAAAGGCCTGGCAAAGCATCTCAAGGAGGGAAATTCAGCATCTGATGTTGATGGGTTCTGGCAGTCATTGACTGCAAAGGACTTGCATTCAAGTATTAAAAATAATCCTTGTATTTACAATTATGTTAGTCCAAATACTTTTGAGCCTGTGAACATGAAGGAACTAAGTAAAAATGGTACTTCCTAAGGTAATATTTTTGTTAAACCCATTAAATTAAAGCTGAAAATCCACATCCTGACTGCTTAATTTCCAATCTATTGTTGTGTACAGAGGCAAAATTACAAAAATTGTGTCGCTGTCCAAATACTTATGGACCTGACTGTATTTATGAATAACTGCATTTTACTCTGCTATGTAAAATAATGATACCAAAAAGCTAAAAATTTCTGAGAGGCGAACATAGCGGAGCGGTCTGGAACGCTGATATGAGAAATGCAGGGCGGGTGGTGTGGGATGGCACATGAACTTTGTTTGTAAACAGTATCTTCACTCAGACAGTAAACACCAGATTCACCCATTCATAATTACAATTACAGTTCTCTGATGACACACAGGGCTAGATTTAATGATTATTTTCCATCCACCTGTTTTTTCTATATATAATATCTACCTTAAATATACATTATATTTATACAAACACAAATAAAACCCTGACTTAAGGTCTTGATCTTTCCCTTCGGATATGTATATATATATACACACTTTTCCATAGACATGACAGCAGGTATAAATACTACTTTGTTAAAAGGGCCTTTTGTGTCAGTTGATAGCAGCTCTGAAAGCACACCAGTCTAAAAGAACAGCTCCTTTGCTGCGGTCCGTGAGGTATAAAAGGGTGTTTAGGAGGATAAGCAGTTTGCTGTGCGTTTTTACTCAGGTCTGGTGCTGGCCTTTACAAACCTGTCGTGTTGGCCCATGTAGGGAAAGAGTCCACGTGGAACATGGCCTTGCCCCATGTGTTGATGGCCAGGGTGATACAAAAAATCCCTATGATGTTCATCATCATGCCCGCCTTTGCCTTGAATAGACGGAAATAACCATGTGATGGCACGAAAACAAAGAAAACACAAAATCATGATTTCAGATTATCTATAAATACATGGAGTTGACATGAAGCCCAAGTACTAATCTTTGCAAATCATCACCACTGAAACAAAACTCCATATCTCTAAAATAGGAGAAGTAAAAAAACATTCTTAACTTTAACCCATTCATGTCAACTAAATTTTAGTATAAACTTGTTCTGATTGGTCTAAAGTGATTAAATTCTATACTTTTATACATTGGGTGAACATCTAACAGTTTTTGTTAGATTTTTTACACTTTTATCCACAGAGATATATCATATCTCTGCTATGGACAATGATACTTTAACACTAAGTCACTTAGGTCACTTTAAAATGTATATTGTCTCTATATTTTGTGTATATCTTGTGTGTATTTTGTGTATATTTAATATATTTCAGTTTGTTTTTCTTGTATTTGTATTTTTTTTACTTATTTACTTTCTGTAGAGTGATTAACTGTGCCTCATCACAAGCATTTCAATGCATAAATGTCCTGACATGTTGTGCAAATGACAAATAAACTTGAAACTTGAACTTGAAACACAGTGAAAGTTGTTTAGAATTAGCAGTCCCATCTGATTAAAAAGACTGGCAAGCTCAGAGAACAAGGGCATTTAAAATTTCAGATGTGGAAAATAATGACTTAATGCATGCTAATGTAACAAAAGGGATGCATGATCAGAGTCTGCCAAGACTAGAATTGGCAAATTTTTGCTATCGGCCAATTTAGTATTTTGATTTTTGGCAGATCTGTACTGAAGTTTTATCACGTAAATAACATGAGTCAGGTAAGCGCACTCAAGCTGTATTTGAATGCTGCTGTTACACCAGTACCAAAATGTTGTAGCATAAATATGCTTGACTCATTGTGCTAAATAGCCAGTTCCTTCTAACCTTTGATGTAGCACTTTATTTGATTAATGTTATTTAAATAGGAAACAGATTTCTCATTCTAAAATGTTAAATGCCAGTCTGGCCCTTTGAAAAGCATGAAATGTTATTTATTACTTATTTCTTATATAGCAAATGTGACTAGTACTGGAATACTGGAAACGAGCTAGTGTGTTTCATGCGTTCATTTAGCCCACACAGTGTGAGCTTCAGGGTAATAAAAAAGGTTAACAAAAATCGTTCAGAAAAGTGGCCATCAGCCAATATGACTGTAAAGAAACTGGAAAGAAATCAGTGCATCCCTATTTAACAAGACTTAATTTGTAATTTTGGACCATTGCCACTGGTCCATTAATCATGAAATGTTCACATAATGTAAATTGCAGCTGGCTTTATAAATGGTGTAAAAAAAAAACTAATAAATAAAAACTGGAAATGGAGATTTTATGACAGTGATGATTTAAAGCCATTTTGTACTGTAACCCGCTTTTAAAATGTATGAATGAATGACACTTATGAACACTTAAGTGCAATCTAGGATCCAGGCACTAAATGCATTTACACATTTTCAGCCACTACTGAACTTAATTTAAGTCAAAATTAGACTATAATTGCTACCCAGTCAGAACATTCCTAACGTTAAGCACCAGGTTTCTCAGCTATGAAATGCATAGAAGCCACATTTAAATTCTTACCATGTCTGAAACCTTGAGGTAGCCATAGGAGAACACGATAGCATTGGGGGGTGTTGCCACGGGTAACATGAAAGCAAAAGAGGCACTGAGCGTACAGGGCACCATGACATACAGGGGGTTCATTCCAACGGACTGGGACTGAAACAAATAAATAAAAATAAAGCAAAAACTTTAACATCATGCAGCTGAAATTCGGCTTAAATGAAAATGACAAGTGCTCTACTATAATTCTATTGTGTGTCTGACTCAGATCTTTGCTTTAAATGGTGGTTTTCTTTTGCCATGGACCTTCATTTAGTGTGTGTAATTAAGCTGTGATTCTTCAGGATGATATATCCAGACTGACTCATGTCTGCAAGAAAGCAGCCGCTCGTCAGAAGCATTGCACAGCTGAGGACCCAAAACCATAACAGCTGACACATGGTAATTTAGGCTTTTGAGACATGGCTTAGATCTTTTTTGGGTGTAAAAGAATAGAGAAGATCCTGGTTTTGTGTATGCGTCTGTGTGTGTGTGTGTATGTGAGAGAGAAGAGAGAGAGACATGTTCTTTCTAAAGCAGACATGAACACGTGCGTGAACTGAGCTTAAACAAGTACAGCCTTGATTAAAAGACAGGAGAAAAGAAGAATCAATCTTTCCTTAAACACTCTTACCATAAAGAATATGGATGCAGAAAAAGCTATAAATAAATATGGATGCAGAAAAACACTATACTTAGTTCCAGTACTCAAATTTCATTTTTGGGGGTTATGAACTGTAGCTATAATTACTTTTTTTTTACTTTTATAGTGCAGGACAAAACCTTTTTCAGATACTGACCTCAATTCCAAAAGAAACAAAATGCTAATAAAAACAGAAAGCTTATTAATGTTTTTTTTTAAATAAATATACACTTATTCCAAATTTGATGTTTATAACATGTTGCCAAAAAGTTGTGTCAGGAGCATGTTTACCATTGTGTTACATCACCTTTCCTGTTAACAACACTTAATTATCATTTGGGGACTGAAGACACTAATTGATCCATTTTTGAAAGCGAAGTTTTTTGCCATCCTTCTGTCATACAAATCTTCAGCTGCGCAACTATATGGTCTTCGTTAAAGTATCTCGTGCCTCATGCGCCATACGTTTTTGCGTGAGACAAGTCTGGACTGTAGCCATGCCAGTCTACTCGCACTCTCAGATTACTCAGCCATGCTTTAGTTACATGTGAAGCATGTGGCTTACCACTGTTATGTTAAAATAAGCCTGGACATCCCTGAAAAAGACTAAAAGGCAGCCTATATTGCTGCAAAAAATATCTCTCTACGTTAATGACCCCTTCACAGATGTGCAAGTTACCAATGCCATTGGCACTGATACACCCCCATGAAATTACAGACGCTGTAAGGCTGCAGGCTTTTTAACTTTACGCTTGTAACAATATAGATGGTCCTTTTGTTCTTTGGCCTGAAGAGCCCAACATGCCTTTTTTCCATAAACAATCTGAAAGCTTGACTCATTAGACCACAATACACGCTTCCACTGTGCATCAGTCCATTTCGGATGAGTATGAGCCCAGAGAAGTCGGCAATGTTTCTGGACATTGTTGAGACACGGCTTCCCCTGTTCTTAGTACAGTCTTTCGTGCATTTGGGGATGCAGCGGCAGTGACATTAATCGCAGAGGCATACTTTTTTTTAATGCGGGATGAGGGGTCTCATATGAAAGCTTGAAGGTCATGGGCATTCAGTTGTGCTTTTTTGGCCTTGCCCTTAACGTGCAGAAATTTGGGTTCCCTGAATCGTTTGATGATATTAAGCACCGTAGCAGGTAAAATACCTAAAATCTTCGGAGCTGCTCGTTGAGTAACATTGTTCTTAAAAGGTTGCATTATTTGCTGAAGCATTTTTGTCAAAGTGGTCAATCCATTCTTGCTCATAAAGGCCTAGGCTTCTCTGGATGCTCCTTTTAAAACTACACATGGTTGCGTCATCCGTTTAGACGTTTTGAACATTTCACAATGGTCCTTGTCTTAATTTCCCCCATCCCAACATTTTTTTTTTGCTGATGCCAGCATCAGTTTCAGAATGAGCTTACAAAATACAATGAAGTTGATAAAGTAAAACATTAAATACCCTGTCTTTGTACTTTTATCACAGGCCAAAGTGGATGTATAGTGTTTCTATACAACAAAAATGCTTTTTGTAATTCTTGTAATTTTGTGTAATACAGACTTTTGAATTGTATACAAATTCACAAACTGGTATTAATCAACATGAAATGGAAAGGGTTGGATGGCAGTTTTACTAGCAGGGCCATTCTTCATTTTTTTTCAAATCAGGGGATGGCATCCACTTGCACCCCCCTCAAATCAAGCCCTAATCAGTCCTCATTTGCTTCATAATTATTCTCCTTTTCTAACCCCTTTCACTGCTGTTTGTCCTTCTCTCTTTGTTTAACCCTCAGGTTATCTTCAAAGTAACTAACATCTTTTATCGCTGGGGTCAATTTGACCACAGCAATGTAAACCTCCAGGAAATATCAAAGTTCTCGTGGGAATTGTGTTTTCCCCTCCTCCATGTCACGTCAACTTTCAGTGCTTCTCGCACTACTACAGGTATGGTTATATTAGGTTTAGTGCCCTAAAGCTGAGGGAAGTTTTTTAAGATTATAAAATTGCATGTTATAGTGACCTCATTATTATCCAAAACAACCAAAACAAAGGTGTGTAAAATTCTGAATGGGGTCCAGTTGGGGAGGGTAGAGGATGTACTCACGAGCAGCAGCAAAATTGGGCTGTTTGAGAACTTGGCTGGCTGCTAATGGGGCCCTCTAAAAGGGGTTGAAGTAATTCAGTGATTTTGAATAGACAATGCAGCATGTGAATCTAGGCCAGGGTGGTGCTTTAGTGCCTATCTTCCTTTGGCACTTACTCACATGGCATAAACTCTTACATCAGTAATCTATTTCAGGTGAACTTCTTTGTTACTTAGTTTTCCCTATAATTCTTACCATAGATGCCAAGACAGGAAGGAAGAGGGTAGCTGTGGCCACATTGCTGGTGCACTCAGTGAAAGTGGCAATCAGGAGGCACAGAACAATGACAATAGCCCATGGAGGGATACTGTGCAGGGGGGTTAACTGATTACCCATCCACCTGGACAGGCCTGACTCCTATAGCAACAGAGACACAAAGTACAGACCCAAAACAAACAATAAGCTACAGGCTATAGGCATATGTGACAGCAAGTATATAAATAGGACAAATCTATGTTTCTGCTGTGTTCTGCCTATGGCACATCAAATTGTGCATGCTAATTTTGATCAAATGGGCAGAGGTGGGTCCACTAGCATTTACTGATAAGGAGTTTTATTCAGTTAATGCAACCTTATGATCCTAGAAACAATCAACATAAAGTATAATAAATTTTGAACTTGTTTAAACAGTGGGATGAATGCTAGGTTATACTGAATGTCCTTGTCTCACAGTTAAAGGGGAATTGTTTAATTTCTGCATAATTGAACAAACTTAGTCAGAGTGGTTTGATGTCAAATTGTTCATTGTAGAGAAACTGACTCTGATGTCTTTTCAGTGGTGGTGATAGGAACCAGGGGTTGCACTGTCAACAGCTGAAACATGGCCATTTTATTTACTGTCCATAACCACCAGTGAACCTACACATCTTCTGTACTTGCATAAGTAATGCTGATAATGGTAAAAGGCTGGTAAATGTGAAAAAAACATCCTTGGATACTATATTCGTTACAATGTCCCTAATGTACCTCCCGACTATGAAAGCATTTTAAAAATATATTTTAGGCCAAAACCTTATTCCAAAACTATAGTCCAATGTCAATGTCCCAGGAAATGTATTTGTGACTATTCTATGTAATAACTTTCTGTATGGTAGCTTAACACATCTGGTTCCAAATCACCATTGCTGTGTACAATAAAGACTCAGTATGTTTCTCTAGAATTTAGCATTTAATGGAGTGTCTGATTTTTAAAAGTTTTTAGTATCATGGGGGAACCCTACCTTGTATGTAAATTAACAGCATGCAAATTTACACATTTAGGCAGGAGGTACATAGAAGGTATATGACTGGACATTACCTCACTCCCTTTGGCCAGCGCAAACCCACCCCCCAGAAGCAGCACTATATTCCAGGGCAGCTTCTTCTGGGCTACCTTCCACGTGAGCAGAGGTGGTGTAGGAACGGCCGTGGACTGTGCTGTGGAAATAAAAAGCTACAACTCAGTGCTGTGTTGGTTAGTGAAAAACTCTGCATGCATGTCATTTCATGTATTTTTCAGTAGTCAGTTCACTTTTACTGTCAACAGTGAAGTAGTGGACAGTGCAAAAGTGTAAGGCAGTACACATTCTGCAATACTGAACAGTGTAAAGCAGTACACATACTGCAATACTGGAGAGGGTAAGTAGTACACATACTGCAACACTGAACAGTGTAAAGCAGTACACATAGTTCAGCACTGGACAGTGTAAAGCAGTAACCATAGTGCAATACTGGACAGTGTAAAGCAGTACAAATTCTGAAGTTCTGGACAGTGTAAAGCAGTACACATAGTGCATTACTAGACAGCATTGGAAAACCTGTGGTTTAAATTTACATGATTCGAATGTGACAATAGATTACACATGAATTAAAATATATCAACACGTCTTTCAGTTTTTGGAAAGTTTTCTGGCAAAAATTATGATGATGTAATGCATTTAATTCAAGTGCAAGCACTTGACATATAATGAGCACAATTTTCAAGTGAGTGTTAAGCAGTAACACTCAGTAGGCCTACTATGTAAATATAAAAATGATTAAAAATATAGAGGGTGCAAAGAGTTGCCACTCACAGTTCCACTCTATGCATTATATAGAAAGTGTCTCCTACCTTGGCTAGATCCAACAGGTGGGCCACAACAGAGCTGTGGTGGCTTTGACGGCAGAACGAAAAGAAGCACAGCGATGAGCACTGCCACCGTGGCATCGGTCACGTACCTGAAAGTTTAAACAGTGACGTTATCCACTGATCCAAGTTTACTTTAACTATGTTCTTTACTCAGTACTGCATTTAACATCTATTATGTCCATATGCCACAGTTATTATATAGAGAAAACGTGAATGAGAGCTTTGCTTCTGGAAGCTGCAAAGTGTAACCCTTACTCTGCGTCAGAATTGAATATGTGTGTGGCCCAGCCAGCCACAAAGCCAGGATCCCTGGTGAACCACAGCACCACGAGCAGGCAGAAAAGAGCCAGCACGTTGAACTCTCCATACGTCATGGGCCCCAGCTGCCGGTGCTCCTCTCGGATCACGTTGTATGCGGCAATCTCCTTCTCCGTCTTCACCGCCCCACAGCCCCATGTCTTCTTAAAGCTGGGCAGAGGAGGACGTTGAATGAAAAGTGGGGATCAATGTATTGATTAAAGGGACGTGTGGCAGAATTTGCAATTTTTATCCTAATCCCAATGTAGCTACTCAGCCGAGACATGTCTGGGCATGAGTGTCAGAAACCAAATAATGACACAAACAAAACGTTCCAAACTTCAAAATGGTAACTTTATAAGAGAAGAAAAAATGTCCTCAATTTTGATGTATGCTAGTCCTGTGCCTGTGGGGGTTAACCAAGTTACCATGGTAACAGCCCTTAATGACAGTAAAAATGCATTTACTGTCTATTAAAAAAAGTTAATTTATTATCTTTTATACGCAAACCATCGCAATACATTAAGATTCCCACCTGTCAATATAACAGACTCTGAAAACATGCTAGGTGATGTCCTACATCAATGCCAACTTTATTATACCTAACACAGATGAGGTTGTTCTAAAATTGTGGCTATTGACCTGTGGTGGTTGAATGTGCTCACTGGGGGGGCTGTGTTGTTGCAGAAAGCACATATCATGCCTGTACAAAAAGCCATCTATAAAGTACATTTTCGGACCTCCTAAGACCAGAGCATCAGGTTACAGACATTAGATAAAACACTGTCATGTCTCAGCACTCGTACAACTGAACATCAGGCTCAGTGGCCACAGATGGTAAAGTCTGTATGATAATTACAATTCCCTTCTTTTTTACAGGATTAATCACAGTTTTGTGGCCAAATTAAAGATGACAGCAATGTCACTGTTAGAATAAAACCTTATATCTCCATTTTTTTAAATAGAATTTTAAAAAATGCCTGCTGCCCTTTACAATGAGTTAAAATTATAATTACAACTTATACTGAACTGCAATATTACTGTGTTCTTTTATTTGACAAATACTACACTTCAACTCACATCTGCTTTAGCGTTAGGACCCATCAAGAAATTACTGTAAGTATGTGTGTATTTATTTGTTTATTTATTTATTTGTGTCTTAATTCTTTCTGGAAATTATACGTACGCCAACAAAAATACCCTTCCTTAACCTGGTTTAGCCATTTACTTTAACAAAGTTACATTCCAAGTTTTTCTGGTGGGTCAGTCATCATGTAATGATCACAGAGCAGCTGTCATTTTTAAATATTGTAAAAATATAAAGAAAAGGAAAGGAGTTACAAGTTTTTTAGGGCAGCAATGATAAGCAATTCACTCAAATGTTTGATGATTTAGGACTGTTGTTGGCTTCCATTATAAGCTTCCATTACTTTATAGCTACATTAACCTCCTAGCTGCAGAGCAAAACTAAAAAAGCAGACTTTGGACACCAAGCTTGTCTTGGCTGATCAACTACGTTTAGGGTAATGGGAAAACTGTAATTGTTTTCTAGTGCAATATCCTTTTAAAAGAGGGTTACAACTAAATGACACTTACTTGAACCCCATGAAAAGAAACTGCAGCCATAGCCAGGCTAAAGTCAGCATGAGGATCATATTTGGAAAAGCGAAGCCGAACCAGGAGGCAAAATTGATAACGTCACCATTCTGAGGAAACAACCTGAGGTGAAATAAAATGACAAGTCACTTCATTTGTCTAAGATGGAGAGAGAAAATAAGCAACGGTAAGGAGAATTAAGGGGCAAAAGGGAAGGCTTCCCCCTAAGTTCAGAGAAGCATGCTTTAAAAAACTAGTAACTGGATGTAATGCTCACTGGTTCATTTGACCCTTGAGCACGAGGTTGGGGCCTGTGCCTGTGAGGGTGGCTGTTCCCCCGATGCTGGCAGCATAGCACACACACAGCGTCATCCCTTTACATATCCTTCTTCTCTCTGCTGCCTCCTGGCACCTGGCGGCCTCGGCTGACACTTCCAGACCACTCACTACCACTGCTGGAAAACAAGCAAATACAATAAAGTACTCTAAAATATATCTCAGATCTCAAATGCATGTAGTGGTGAACAATTTGGCATAAATGTAATAATGTAGCACTCTTTATGATACATAATATGTGCCCTAAGATTCATTTGTTCAGCTGGGAGTATTCAGGTGTTCATAAATATGGCAAACAGTCTGACCTTGTCCACCTTTGTATTTGGCCGGTTTGCTGTACTGTGCATCTGGAGCCAGGCTTTCCTCCTCACTGCAGCTGATCTGTGCTGGCTCACTCTCCTGGCTGTTCAGTTGCTCCAGCACGGCCTGCACTATGGGCACCATCATGGCTGTGGTGGCTGTGTTACTGATCCACATGGAGAGGAAGGACGTCACACCCATGAAGCCCAGCATCAGCCTATGATGAGAGAGAAAGCAAGAGAGAGAGGGAGAGAGAAAGAGACACTCTGTTTAGACAACAAATTAAATGGAAGTTGGTAATTTCTTAAGACATCAATGGGAAGGATATACTATAGCTAGGGCTGAACAATACGTTCATTACTAATCCCTTATTCCAACCAGGCAACTTTAGATGGTCGAAGCAGTATATTGGGTACCTCGGAGTCCAATTCCCACCCAACCTGTTTGACATCATCAAGGTAAATATAGAATGCTTACTTGAGAAATTTAAACTAGACATAGAAATACAGAAAGCTGGGCACCTCTCCATCTCTCTGTGAGCAAAGACTAACGTATTAAAGATGAATATAGTCACTAAGTTCAACTACATTTTGCAGTCTCTTCTTCTGACAGTCTCAGCAAAATCTTTCCACAAGTTTAATCAGCTGTGTAGCCTTTTTCTTTGGAATGGTAAATCAGCTAGGGTGCTCCTTAAAAAGCTGCAAAATAGGGTGGATCAGGGAGGATTAGGGATAGTGAACCTACTTCTCTACCATTATGCTTTTTGCCTACGGCACTTGGCACAGTGGTTTCTGGTCCAAAGTGGGCACCCCCGTGGTTCACTGCTGAAGCAAATGCTTGTCCTCCTCTTCCCTTGGTGCCAGTCTTTCTGCCTCTCCCCCCCACCCAAGTGCTCAGTCTCATCCTGTACTGTTATGGCTTAAGGGGGTTTGGAAGAAAACTGCAAAGATCCTTAACTTTGACCCCTTTGCTGAACATGATCAGTAGTATAAGGTACAATCCCTGTCTCCATATTGGAAAATCCTCCTTTTATTGGAAAGAATGGTTGTAGAGGAGCTTGGTGACCTTTATATAAAGCCAGTCCTCAAATCCTTCAATGACTTACAGGCTGAATTCAGGCTGCACAAACAACAATACTGGCAGTGTATGTAAATTCATAGTTTGCTGACATCAACTTTTAAAACCCCCCTGGCTTCCCAAAATGCAGAGACCCCCTCTTGTATTATCTCAAGCTACAGTAGGGGACATGAAGGATCACTTTACTCAGTGCAATTACAGAAAAACAGCACTACAGGTTCCCTAAAACTGTGTGGGAAACAGATTTTGGAATCATGTTTACAGAAAAAGAATGGGTCAACATTTGACAGAATTCAAAGGTCATGGCATGTGATATTAGTTCTAGGTTAATTCAATTAAAGATTATTAACAGAACCTAATGGATGCCCTCCAGACTGTATAAGGTTAACCTTAAAAGTGATCCTGTGTGCTGGAAGTGCCCTGGTGAGGGTACGTTAACTCACATCCCATGGTGCTGCCCCAAAGTATGGGACATCAGCCCATGATTGTATTCAGAGAACTATTAGCCAAACGACCCCTTTTGCATTCATCTATTTTTGCTGGGGGATGCGTCCACCCTGAAAGACACAGTTTATCTATGTATATTAAATGGGTTCAGGCCTCTATCATGCTGGGAAGGAGACTGCTCGTCCAACAGTGAAAAGCAGTTCATGTCCCATTAATCACGGACTGCCATAATCTGCTTGCTAGGGTGGCAGCATATGAACGGGTATCCTTATCTCTGCTGGGCAGATTAGAATGGTATTACTTGAAATGGGAAAGATTTCTTCACTACATTAATGGCCCTTAAAGACAAACTCATGGCTTAGCTCCCTTCCAAGTACACACACGCATGTTCACCTGGTCCCATTTACAACACAGCCTTTCTATTCTTACCTGTATTTCAAATTGTATATACATTGTCACATTCTCCCTGTTTTCTATTTGTTTACATTCTTATGTTTCTAAAATATTATAACATTCAATGTATATGTTCATTACTGTACTTCAAAGTATATCAAGTATATCAAGTACAATGATGTGTTAATCATATACACCAGTAGGGCATGTACCCTACCAAGCCATACTTGGATAAGGATCACTATAATTACACATTAAGATCATTCATCAAACTTGTCATGTCTCCATGGTACATGTGAGATCTTTCTAAGGCATCTTTATTTCTTTTGGCCTTAATGGCCATGTGGAGACTGGAGCAGTTTGTTGTGCTCTGAGGTGAGGTGATGTGGATGTCTGGCATAAACTAAACTAACTATAATTTATTTATTTTTAACAATTTCCATATATTAACAATAATTGTCCTATTTACAGCCTTTGATGATTAACTGTGTTGAGGTTTAGGCTACAGTTTTTGTGGCTTGAATGAAAGACAAAGCTTCTGCGTACTAAATAGGTGAAATGAATACCAACATAATAAACAAATCTGTGAGCATTCAGATTATTTGGGCCAACCCTACAGTGGTTTTGGGACAATGTGTGGAAATGATTGTCCATTGCAAACAATGTATGATGCAGATGAGGCACACAGAGATAAGGTTGAAAAAAACTGAAGAATTCCTTTAACCCCTTCAAGGATTCATTAATGTGCTTTACATACATGCTATATTTCAAGGCAAATCACAAGTGCAATCTGTAGAAATGTAATTACAATGTGACATATTGCCCATATCATGCAGCCCTAACTGTAACTGCGTTCATACTGTAGCAGAAGTCACTCACAGTGCCGGACGCACTCCTACGATCAGGAGCACTCGCAGAGCAATGCGCTTGTGCAGGTTCCAGTGCTCCACAGCCACTGCCACCATCAGGCCACCCACAAATAACATATTAGTGTCCTTTAGATACTGCATGCACACCTGGAGAGTGGCACCAGAATAAACACTGCAATTACTTTGACCACTTATATTTAGTGTGCACTTTCCCTTAACCCAAGTGGAAATACAACCTCTTCAGACTTTTTTAAAATTTATATCACACACAGAGAATATACACTTTCTTAAACTGTTTATATATGTATGTATATATATATATATATATATATATATATATATACAATTTCTGCATAAATGGCTCCAAAAATTTATCTTCATCTACACCCTTAAAAGGCATATTCTAAAGGACCATATTTGAAAAAAAAAAAACATTTGTGAGTGTGAATAACTTTTTACATGTAACTTTAAAAAGATTTACATTTTACACTCACATCATTTACAAATATACTTCCTCTAAGAATCATCTATGAAAATGTTCTTTAGGGAATCAAAAGCGGTTCTGTTCTATAAAAAACTGGATCAAAGCCCAATCAATCAAAGCAAACTGAAACCAAAGGAACCAAGCATGATGTCAATCCAAAGAATGCTTCTTGGCACATGGAGGTGTAGTTACTGAATAATAAGCCTTACGATTTAAACTACTGTCAATTTCATAGCAGAGGATTAATAAAGACATAATGTAAAATGCTTTATGTGCTGTTTGTTAAATAAGATTTTGCCTATTTATTGACTACGAAGATCAGATCACACTTAGGAGCCATCAATGCAGAAATGCAGATAAGTCATAATTTCAAAGCGTTGACAAATGTTTTCTCAGACAGTAGGATATAGTTTAAAATCCTGAGCTGAGCACTGTCTACCTGTTTGGACTGCATGATTCCGAACAAGGGGAAGAGGAGAGCAGGCAGCAGAGCGGTGACGGCCAGCGGGAGAGCCTCTGTACACCAGAAGACCGCCATCATCAGGATGACAAAGGCACAGCTGGCCTCCTGGAACACACATATACCCTTTCAGCACCACATCTCAGAGCATCTCAGACATGCACTTCATTCACAGAAACTGTACCAGTTCATAGTGATAACAGGCATAAGCAGTAGTTCTTGATGCAGACATCAGAAAAGTATTACATAGTTAATGTGTCCACCAAAAAAAGCCGTTTCAAACTTAAAAGAGGACTAATTGTGGACGGTCAATAGCCTGACCCAGTTTGATCTCTTCACTCATTATGAGGCATTGTGAAGAAATATTAGGAGGACAAAGCGTCTAGACGTCCCAAGCTTGGGGACACAAAATTCCACATGGTTCCAATAAGTCTGAGGTTATCATGTTTACCTCAGGACACACAGACAGCAAACAGGTGAATCAATACACATAAGGTAGAAAGGCTATGGTGCTGCACTGGATGGCCACTAAGTGATGCAGTTAACACGTGAGACGAGAAATGGAGCCATAACAAGTGCAAGTGTACAAAACAAGAGCAAATTAAACCAGTTAAAACAAGATAACATACCCTTGTACCGACAACAAGTGGAAGAGGAAGAAGGATCAAAGGAGTAAAGAAAAGTATGAAGCCATTCTTGAAGGTCCAGACGGATTTCAGTAAAGGTGACATCTCCAAAACTGAAGAGGGATCCAATAAAGTGAAGTTGTACACGGACCCTCTCTTTTAAACTTGAAGACAGGCAGGCAGAGAGAGAGAGAGAGAGAGAGAGAGAGAGAGAGAGAGAGAGAGAGAGAGAGAGAGAGAGAGAGAGAGAGAGAGAGAGAGAATAGTCATGGATGAAATCACGCTCACTGACGCAATACCTTCAGTTAATTTAACCGCAGTGAACACTTTCCAAACATCTGTTTACCTGGAAATGGGCATGTCGTGTAGTTAAACCCTTAAAAATAAAATGTACGTATGTTGTGTCGAATTAATGCTTTACTCTTTACACGCTACGAGCTACCAATTTACTCTAATGTTCTTGTAGTAATAGGTTTACTAATGTCTCGGGCCAGCAGGTTGAGTTTTAAGTTGAGTTACATTACTGCGCCGCCTTGCGGAATAACAATGCCAATGCTCTGCCATAAGTTTCCTTTAATTTGTAGTGATGGCTGCGTTGGGCAACCGACTTACAAGCAGCTGTGCGGTTTGCGGTAATCTAAGATAGAAATAGACAGTATATGGGCAGTTTTATATTTAATTGTCGATGGAAACGTTTGAACCGAAGGCTTTAATATGATGTTGCTGATGAACATGTTTGTAGTCGTAGAGGGAGTCTAAAGCACAGAGTGAGTCAGGATGTTAAAAAATATGTGTACAAAGATATTTAAGATATTTTCAGTTTAATATCATTTAATGGTGTGTAATTTAAAATTTAAAATGTAACGTGAGTTTGCATATCAAAACCTGCGTTTATAAGTGTACATAAATCTGTCTAATAAATGGTTTGCAAATCAGGATCTTGGTAAATGTCTTTGGCTTAAACCTGTCCACTACTTCCCCGAGTTTGTGGTTGAAACTTCGTGAAAATAGCCGGGGGAAATTTTCAACACCAGTCGACAGACAGTCACATGAGTGGATTTTGAGAGCTTGCGCCGGTTACACTAATGCATAAATCTACAAATCATTGCGTGGTACTAAGTAGTTGTAACCACTCAGGGAAGTAAATCCACATGGCTTTAAGATCGTATACAGCCGCGCTGGTGGCGCAGAGAGTCACGTGTTTCTCCGACATCAACATCATGGCTTCTATCATTGCAGAAGGAACAAAATATTGTCGACTGGCCAGGAACTAAAGTCCTCTGTCAAAGATTTTTCACGTGAGTTTCGCTGGGTCTCACAACAGGCCTGTCTGGAATGTTTAAGATACATTTGCACGCCAAGAAAACATGGGAACTGATATCATGACAGCAACTGTTACACATTACAGTTTCTGAGCAGCTCACTACAGTGCAGAGGTAAGGGGCTGCTGGCTAGCTAAGTTAGCTAGCTAGTTAGTTCAAGTAAATAACAGGCTATTTTTTAATGTTCAGTTGTGTTGCAGGTGAGCTCGTTTACTTTCTTAAACGACTAGTTATACGTTTGGAGCAGTATGTTTTAATGCGTAATTTAATTAGTGTCGTAAAATGGTAACATGCCAAAATGTTGTTGTTAATTAGTTTATAATGTTAAACTATATACTTTATACTAGTTTAACAAGTAAACCATTTGTGACTGGTTGAAATACTGCGTTGTTTTGGCCGAAGTTAGCTAGGTGCTGTGCTATCGTTTTAGCTGAAACTGAGCAGATCAGATCAGATTAGATCATTTTCCTGTTGAACACTTAAACCCAAAGTTATCTGGTAGTACACTGTCTAAGTTATTCAGAGCATTTCTATAGTGTTTGTTTTGCCATATATATTGCATTAGTACTGAACAGTTCGTATTGTACTGCATTACTTTTTTTTTCTTGTATCTACGTCCTCATGAAGCCTGTGCTCGTTCCCCAGCCTGGTGTTTAAGCAGAAAGAGAAAAAGGTTTATTTAGGATTAAGGTTTATTACTAGTTAGTGGTAACATTTTTATCATGTACACTGTTAAGTAATGCTTGATAGTCATATATCTCATGTACTTTTTGTGTTTTCACTTTACAGAAATTAATCATTCACTGAAGCAACTGGTCCATGTATTTCTAAGCTTCACATGGGGAATAGGAGGAGGGTCTGGATGTTCCTCTTCTAGAGAAGCAGAGTAAAAGTTAGGCAGCAAGAATACAGTTTGCTCTGGTTAAAACTTAGGCTGTCATGGAGTGGCTGGCTTCAGCTTTTGAGAGGGACCTGGGAGTTGACCAGCGGCAGATTGGACCCGGGCCCCAACCCCATGAGTTGGTGGCCCTTGTTCCGACCCGCTGGGTGATGGGACTGAGAGAAAGACGAGTCACGCGCTGCGCTCGTTATGAATGTGTGGGTGATGGAGATATCCGCACTCTTCTCCAGCGCTCTCAGGTGAAGCTCCCGCCTGGCTGGACTCGTGTTTGCATACAAGGCCTAAGAAAAAGCAAGTTGGGATACAAGCTTGCTAAGGAGCCAGGCTGCCAGTGGGAGGGGCTTTCCCAAGAGTCTTTCATGCGACAGATGCAAGAGGTGTCACAGTGCAACATCAGGTATAGTTGGCTAAAATAAATATTGCACTGTTCTGTGCTGCATGCACAGCATTTGTTTTTGTCTTATGGTCATTGAATGACCGTAATGTCAAAGTGGAGCATACATTTGACCTAAACTTTGTTCTTGTAGTGTTAAAAGGTCAGAGAAATCCACAACAGCAAAGCCTCAGAATAAATCTCCATAAACTAAACATTTAACGGTTATAATGTAAATATGTAATGTTGCCTAGTGTCATTTTCCTATAACTGATGTGGCTTATATTTTTGAACATCTGCAGATATGACAGTAAAAACTGTGTTTGTGCTGAACTTCTCTTTATCTGTTTATAGAAATCTGTGGCGGGAGGCATACATGAACTATGTGCAACCATATGCAGGATATACAGAGCAAACACAGGTGCTGGCTATTGATGCAGTTCGCCAAGCTTTGCTGAAACTGTTTGGCTGTTCTTTTCTCTCCACTGACCGAGTGTCACCATCCCTCTCTCCAGCCAGAGAGAAAGAGAAGGAGTGTCCTTTATCATCCAGCTCTACAGTTCCTAAGCAAAATACTGACACTTTGTGTCCAAATGTGCTCCAAGCTGAATGCTTGCTTGAGTCTGCGGAGGTGTTGTACATCATTTTTCCATATACACAGTACTCCCTTCATGACATTGTGACCTACAGCCCAGCCAAGCTCGCCAACAGCAATGCTAAAGTGCTGTTTATTTTGTACCAAGTGCTCATAGCGATGCGTGAATGTCATGCATCAGGACTGTCATGCGGAGAGCTCTCCTTACAGGACATAGCTGTTGACGAGCAGCTCTGCAGTCGCCTCAAGATCTCTCTAGCACATTATGAAGAATTAGGAGAGGACAGGGCCATGCTTGAGTATGTGGCAGGAAGACAGGTGCCAAGAAATATAAAAGGAAAAGGCACAGTGAGTGTAAGAAGCGACATCAGTGGACAGCACTGCCAAGACTGCCTTGATGAGCTCAAATCTTTGGTTCTAGACTGGGTTCATGGTAGAGTCAGCAACTTCTCCTATTTGATGGAACTGAACCGGCTGGCTGGAAGGCGTGAAGGTGACCCCAACTATCACCCAGTTTTACCCTGGGTGGTAGACTTCACTGTGCCATACGGAAGATTTCGTGATCTCAGGAGGTCAAAATTTCGTCTAAATAAAGGTGACAAACAACTGGATTTCACCTATGAAATGACCAAAGAAGCCCTTGCAGCAGCAGTAGCTAACGGAGGTGGTGGAAGTGTTTTTCATACTGATTTTGCATCAGTAGGTCCTAGTGGTTCAGGACAGTCAGATCATCTCCATGTACCCCATCATATCTCAGATGTTCTATCAGATATCACCTACTATGTCTACAAAGCTAGGCGAACTCCCAAATCTGTACTTTGTAGCCATGTTCGTTCTCAGTGGGAGCCCAATGAATACCCAGCTAGCATGGAACGTATTCAGAGTTGGACTCCAGATGAATGCATACCGGAATTCTACACAGATCCTTCCATATTCCGTTCTATTCATCCAGATATGCCAGACCTCGATGTACCCCCGTGGTGCAACTCCTATGAGGAATTTATTGCAGTGCACAGGCGCCTCTTGGAGAGCCGTGAAGTATCTCAGCAGCTACACCATTGGATTGACCTGACGTTTGGCTACAAGCTCTCGGGCAAAGAAGCTGTAAAAGCTAAGAATGTATGCTTACATTTAGTGGATAACCACACCCATCTGACTAGCTATGGAGTTGTTCAGTTGTTTGACCAGCCTCACCCACCCCGTCTTGCACCTTACCAGTATTCACCAGCAGAACCTCCCCACTTTGGTCCTGTCAGTGTGTCAGCTTGGCAAATCCCACCCCTCGAGGCAACAGTGGATGGTGTCGATGGAATGGTCCCAGAGGCAACAGGATGTGAATCTAGTGGTTGGACGATGGTTGATAGGGATGAAGATCTTGAGCAAGGAACAGAGGCACTAGATTCTTTAAGTGCTTCAGTCCCTGGCACCTCTGCTATACCGGTGCCTGCTGGGAGTACTACTGGAGGAAAGATGACTGGAGAGCACACAGCTTTGGCAGTGTCTCCTTCTCATAGTTCCTTTCCAGGGGAAACATCAAGCAATGCCACAAATGCTGTGGGATCTACCATCAGGAGTACCATTCTTCAGAGAGGAACTGCCACAATGAAGAAACAGGAAGGTCTCACTGCTACTAATGCAGATGATTTCAAAATAACCTTGCCTGAAGGATTCAAACCTTTACAGCCTTTAGAAGAGTTAGAGAAGCTCAGTATCTTTCTGGTTAAAGGGTTGCATTCACAAGTCCAGAATGCATTGAATGTGGACAGAATAGAGTCAAGCACTGTATCAAAAGCTCCCCTGTATTTTACAGACCTCTTTCACAGAGACATGCAAGCCCTAGGTGTCTTCATTGCAGAAATATTTTGTACTTCAAAACTGCGCGGTGTAAAGCCAGGCACACTGCTGACTGGACGTTACCAGGCAGTAATGAAGCTTTGCTCTGCTAGTCTTCGAGATGTCCCACTCCCACTTCATCATGCACTTGAGAGCCTTCTGCAAATTCGCCAGCACTCATCTGAGACTTTGTTGAATTTGCACTCTACAGGCCCACCATTTCTTTTCAAGTATGACCCAATATATGAGGGTCTTCCACCTCCGAACCCTTGGCAGCTGCTTAGTCCAGTGCTCTCTCCGTTACCTTTTCCAGAATATTTTCCAGCACTGCATCACTTCATTTTCTCTTACCATTCCAAGATGGAGTCCATCAACAGCATTCAGGGCCGGGACATTGTGTTCAACTTGTGGCAGCAGCTGCAGACTCTTCTACAAGGTGATATCACTGCAGAGGGACTGGAGATCCTCTTACCCTTTGTGCTTGCTTTAATGACTGAGGAATCTACAGCTGTGTATGCTGCCTGGTACTTATTCGAACCAGTCTCCAGGGTCCTTGGGCCCCGCAATGCCTCAAAGTACTTAATAAAGCCACTGATAAGTGTTTATGAGAACCCCCGCTGCCTTCGTGGTCGATTCTACCTCTACACCGACTGTTTTGTGCTACAGCTTATCGTGCGCATTGGCTTACAGGCTTTCCTCTCCAACCTCCTACCTCATGTCCTGCAGGTTATCACTGGATTTGAAAGCTGCACCACAGGTGGTGGGAATGAATGGGATGGACTAAAAGTCTTAAGGGGTGCTGTGGGTGGCTTGGGTAGAAGAAGAGGAAGACTATGAGTGTGAAGATGGGAGGCCATCATCAGCTGCTTCAGCTGGCAAAGTGGGAGGAGGCAGTGGAGGTGGTGGAGGAGTGGGTGGTGTTGGAGACCCAGGTCTTGTAGACTACTCTTCAGGGATCAGTCTTAATGACCAGGTCTTTCTTGCTGAGGGTGAGGACTTCCAGAATGGCTTTTATGTCAATAATGGCTCGTCCGTACCAGCAGCTGGAGGTTCTACTAAACAGCAAAGCCAGAACTCCGCAAACAAAGACCAAGACCAAGAATCTCTCAGTGTGGGGAAACTAAGCGACAAGAGTAGTGCAAGTGAGGTGTCTATTGGAGATGGAGACTCCACCAAGGATCGTGCAAGTTTAAAGTCTGCTGACAGTAGTCAGGACCTAAAGCAGCCCAGTGATGGAGAAGATGGCGGAGAATTGGAGGATGAAGATGAGACAGTGGAGGACAAAGAGGGCACAGTACAGAAGGTTCCCAGTCTTGAACTGACACTGTCTGGCTGCACAGAGGATTCTGAAGTTACAGTGGGTACTCAAGAGGGTGATTTCATGAATGGGATTATACAAGCAGAAGCGGAGAAAAGCATAGTGGAGGAGGAAGAGGAGCATGACCCATTGGAGGATTCAGAGGAGAAAGAACACAAGATATTATTGGGTAAGTCGAAAAAGCATTTGTGGAATTTTTTTTGGTTATATGTCTTGATAAAAGTGCAAAATTAAAAAAAGATCATTCAGAAATATTGTTAATGGACATATAACGTTACCATGATGCGAGTCATTTTTTGCACTTCTCTCAATCAGATACTGTTTGTAAGACTGTAAGGTGGCTGGTTGCTAAATTGGGGCCCACAGTAACCTCTCGATATGTAGCACGAAATCTGCTGACGTCTGCTTACTTCTTGCTATATAGGTAAGACCTGACATTATTTCAGTCACTATGGATAGTCATTTTATGCAGATTGCATATATACTAAACCTAGCATGCCATTTACAACTATAGTAAACACTGAACAAGGTACTTTCATGTGACATTTGTTTTTTCATCAGTGATTTTAAAATATTAATTTCTTTCTTTTTGAAGGGCCTGAAAAACACCAGTTTGTGCCATCTACAAATGAGGAGAGTAGTCTTGACAGCGTAGGAAGCGTGTATGAGAAGAAACCAGTTGTCGGTGACCAGACAGCGAAGCCAGTTCTTGATTGTCTCATTTACATAGCCCATTTATATGGTGAACCTGTTCTGACCTATCAGTACCTGCCTTACATTGGCTACCTGGTAAGATTTCTGTCAGCACCCATTTGTTCAAATCATCTGCTAAATACTCCACAACACTCTTGCAGACCGAATGGATAGCGTGGACCACTTGCACTTATGTTATGCTATGTTATCAAGTTATCAGCCTAATAAGTTAAAGGGGAATTTGACTGATTTTTTAAAACTTTCAGCATAATTCAATGGTTCAGTTGCAAATAAACTCAAAGTGATCTGATGTACAATGGTAAATTGTAGAGATGCTTACAAACTCAGACTCTTTTACAATGGTGGTGAGAGGAACATGGTGTCTACAATGCAAATATAACAATTTTATTTAATATCCAAAACCATCCATGAGTTTTTATGCATAATGCTGATAATGGTAACATAAAGGCAAATCTGAAAAGCATGTATTTCCTTGGGATATCACTTCGCCTTACAATGCCCTGCATGTCCCGTCATGCATGGATTAAAAAAAAAATAAAAAATACATAATCTACTATTGCGAAGGCCTTGTAAAGGCATCAGACAGCATCCTTGTAACCATTCACATAATTATTTTCTTTGAGTACAAGTTTGCCTGAGATCACCCTGCGTGTACATCTTCTCTACAAATGGATTTATTCTTACATTTTAAGCCCAAACTCTCAAAAAACTATTGTAAAACAATGTCTCAGGCAGTGTATTCATAACCATTCAATGTAATACATTTCTGTAAAGGAGCTTTTAGAGGTATTGAACTCTTCAGGCATCTGGTTTCTATGACCACCACTGTGAACAATTCTGACCCGGTCAGTTTAATCCAAGTAATAACAATATTAATACTGTATTTACATAGTGTTTTTAAATAACATGCTTGACTATCAGACAATGCTAGATATGTTTTTACATTTATTTCCTTACATTTGAATTTTGTCAACTAGAGTAGACCTACACTATATAATAAAGTGAAGCAGGTCTGAGTTTATTAAACATGTAACTAATAGCTATCTAGTAGACCAAATTCATCTTAAGTGCAGCGATTAAATAGTTATTCTTTGGCTTACTGTGTGATTGTTTTGCTCTCAACAGACCTATAACTTATTTCATAATATTTCACATGACTTTTCGTTGTTGGCTGTATGGCTGCTAGCTGGCAAACGTCCTGTTCTCTGTGATTGCTGTGTTTTCCGTGAGCATATGCCTTGTAAAAACAACAAGGAATCTGTAAGAGAACTAATGAATCTACCTTTGTAGACAGGCATGACCATGATTCTTGATTGTGCAGACAATATTGATTGTTGCTGTGATCACACATGTACATATATTGTAATTTTCAATGTGTGTAGCCCTTGTGTTATTAATTGAACATATTTATAGCACTGGCACTACACTGCTGTAATGTATTTCTTGTAGAGTTAGCCATAATTTAGTATCATAATTTGCAGCGTTTGACATGAACGTTTTTCTTTCACCCCTCTCCAGGTCTCTCCCCCGTCCTCCTGCCGCCTGAACACTCGTAAGGAGGCAGGCCTTCTTGGTGCAGTAGTGCTGACTCAGAAGATCATAGTATTCCTGTCAGACACAACTCTAATGGACATGTTGATGAAGATAAATCAGGATGTGCTACTGCCCCTGCTTGAACTGCTCACCTCTCCTAAAATGGGGTAAAGTCTCACACAATAGAGCTGTTCTTATAAAACTTGTGACCTGTATCAAATACAGGCCAACAACCTTTCCGTGCAATAAGCTTAAAATATTATTTTATTATCTTTGTTGATTTGGCTGTTCTCTGTGCACAGCTTTCCCAGTGGAGTGCAAACTCGTTCTGCGCTTTGTCTGAAGACACTGAGCCTCATGGCACTGATCTGTCTGCGCATAGGGAGGGAGATGGTGCAGCAGCACATGGCAGACACCCTCTGCCAGTTCTTCCAGGTTTTCTCCTTGCTGCACAGTCTGCAGAACCAGGTATTAGGAAGTTGGCTGTCTAACTCTAATATTGAGTTGACTTGGGTATATCAGTTCTGTGCTTCTTTGTCATCTTCTATGTTATGAAAGGTGCTTTGTTTTAATAATTCACCATGTTGTTAGTTTAAATAGTTTAACAATTATTGACTGCTTTTTCCGTGTAGATGGAGAATGCTCCACGAAGAGAGGTTGGAGAGTACACATACCTTGATGTGTGCACTCCAGAAGGATCAGAGGTCACATGTGAACTTGGGGTTCTGGAGGAACTACAGGCCGTGTTCAACCCTGAGATGGCGTATGCATCCTACATCCCTTTCTACTGTCTCATTGGTATGTAGAAATAGGCATGGTTATTCAATTATATGGACATTTATTTATGTAATTGAGTATCCAAGTAAGGATGTGTAGTTTTGTTTATTAAAAGGAGTAAATCCAGTATTATCTTGTCATTGTAAGTATATTTTTGAGTGTTTGAAGTAGGGCAGCAGAGAATATAAAAACACAAGCAGCTGATACTGCATCCAATGTTAGGCAAAATAGCCACATGTGAGTGGAGCTATATGTGGAAACATTTCACATGAAAAGATAACAGATTTGTACAACAAAGATAAATCAGTAAATCGGCCAAATGTACAGATATGGAGCATCCATCCTCTGTGTTAGCTGCTTGCGCTAGCTAAATGTGAAACCACAAAGCGCCTTAACTTGAGTGCATTTGTTAAAGGGATATTCCACCAATTTAAAAAAATATCTGCATAATTCAGTCCATTCAGAATAATTTGATGTGAAATGCTCTGTTATATCGAAACTTACAGAGTCAGAGTTCTTCACAATGGTGGTAATAGGAACCAGACATCTGAAGTATTTAATGCCACTGAAAGTAACCTCACAGAATTATGTGAAATGGTTACAAGTATGCTGTCTGATGCCTTTACAAGACCTTTGCAATAGTAGATTATGTATTTTTATTTTTTTTTAATCTATGCATGGCAGGACATGCAGGGCATTGTAAGGTGAAGTGATATCCCAAGGAAATATATGCTTTTCAGATTTGCCACAAGTTTACCAATATCAGTATTATATATTTCACTGACTGTTTTGAAAAGCAAATGTAATAATATTGTTGACATCATGATCCCTGGTTTCTATCACTTCAATTGTAAAGCAAACCGACTTGACCTGTTTCTGTGCAATACATTATTTCACATCAGACCCCTCTGAATGACTTTATTTACATTTCAATAATCGAATTACACAGAAATTTTCAGAAATGAGTGGAGTTGGCCTTTAGCGACAGAGAAGGCAGACACAGCACAGTCAGCTCTGGCACATGTTTTTAGCTAATTAAGCTTGCTAGTTAGCCTCCGTTAGTCCACATAAAACAGATCTAAAAGTATGGCTACAGCCCTGGACTAATTTTGGTCCTTTTTTTTTTTTCTGTCGCTGCTTTATCAAAAAGTTGAATTCACATACCTGATTTGAATAGCAAAAATGTTTAAAATGCTCTTTGTTGTTAAGGCTGTCCACAAGCCATTGTTTAAGAATATGCCAATTACTTGTTTAATTACTTTATTGAGTTATTTTATTAACTTTGTCTCTTGTTTTTTGTATAATTTTTAGGTGACACTGCTATTCGGAGACTAGTTCCAAACCATGAATTAGTTTGGGGTCTGGCTCAGTCCTACCATGTCAGGGCAAGTCCAGGAAGCCCAGAGTCCAACCTAGCTAGTGGTCAAAGAGCAGAGCTTTCTGCTTCTTCCATGGGCCTGTCTCCAAGCATGAGCCACCAGATGGGCCGCAGCCCCTTCCCTGCCCCCTCCTCTACCTCCACTCCTCTCGGAGGAGACGCTCTGCCTGAGTCTGGAACCTTTGGCAGCCACTTAGTGGGAAACCGGATCCAAGTAGCACGGGACACTGAGCCAGGGGGGAGCCCAAATCTGTCCTCTCTGGATACCTGGGGACGACCTCATATCAGCTACCCTCCACAAGCTACCACCACAACAGCAGGCCCCATTTTCTCTCTCTCTTCGTCCTCTTGGGTGTTGGGCCACACCCCAGAGGACAGTGCACTGAAGCAGGAGCTTCCACGCACTAGCCGCTCTCTGCAGGGGAACTGGCTCGCTTACTGGCAATATGAGATCGGCCTCAACCAGCAGGACTCGCACTTCCATTTCCACCAGATCCGCCTGCAGAGTTTCATTGGTCACTCAGGCACAGCTAAGTGTCTGGCACCACTAGCAGGCGAGGACTACTTTCTGTCTGGGAGCAAAGACAAAACAGTTAAACTGTGGCCACTGTATAATCATGGGGATGGTACTCGAGACGTGGAGCCCCGGCTGACATATTCAGACCACCGTAAATCTGTGTTTTCGGTTGCACAGCTGGAGGCCTTACAGAATGTGGTGAGCTGTGATGGCACTGTGCACCTCTGGGACCAGTTTACTGGTGAGAGACTCTCAATGTTCAAATTTATTTCATAATTAAACCCTTGAGATGTAAACAAAAAAAAGTCATTCAAAGTGGTTTTATGTGAAATGGTTATTTGTAGAGGAACTTGTCAACTCAGATTTTTTTTACAGTGGTTGTGATAGGAACCAGAGGTCACAATGTCTGTAACTCAAATGTAACCATTTTGTTTACTATCCAAACAATTTGTGAACCTACAAGTGCCATCTGAGGTTTTCTGTGTAATGCTGATGATGGTAAAATAGTGGTAAATCTGAAAGCTTTCTTTGGGTATTTTTTTCCCTTATAGTGCGGTGTCGTGTACATATCCACTATTAATTAGTTTTTTTTTTAATACACATTTTAAGCCAAAACATAATCTGTTGTAAAACAGTATCTTGGGCATTAGGAAACGTGTAATATAACCTTATAAGCATTTATTGTTATAACTTTCTGAGAGGTAGCTTTTAGAGACATTAAACATTCATGCATCTGGTTCCTATCGCGTCTGTCGTGAACAATTCTGGCTCAGTAAGTTTCACTTGAATTGAGCATTTCACATTAAACCACTCTGGATGACATTGTTTACATCTTAACAATCTTAAAGGGCAGACATTTAGAGAAATTGATGGATGTCCCCTATAATTCAGTGAACTGGCTGAGGGACCTTGTTGAGGTTCCAGCATTTATCTTGTACTGTTGTGTTTGCCCCATTGTCTACATCTAGAAAAAGAACAAACCGAAAAGTACATCGTTATTAAACGATGGCAATGTACATGATAATATAAGAAAAACAAACAGTACATGTTGATTAACCAAAATATTTTACCTTACCACTTTGCATTATCAACATTGCATTATCTTTCCTCTTCTCTTTGTATCAAGGCAAGCAGATTCGTTCTTATGAAGCACTGGATGGGAAGAATCCCATCACTGCTGTCACCGCCATGCCAGCCCCTCACTGCAGTGTAGTGTTTGCCAGCGCTGACTCTGTCCTTCGCTTTATAGACCCACGCAAGCCTGGCTTACAGGTATACTTATCATGCCTAACTGACCACCCCTGTCTCAGTAAACTGAGGTCAATATTTCTCTTGTAGCCAAACAGAGATGATTGATTGAGTTTGATTTAATAATGCAGCAGAGTGGGCAGACTGTGCATTGCTTTGCTCTATAATACTGATGGTTTTCATTGAGCTACACTGCGCTGTTCCTCTGCTTCTAGCATGAATTCCGCCTGGCCTATAACAACATGAGTGCAGGTCTGATTCGCTGCCTGGCCGTAAGTCCTGGGGGACGAACAGTGGCAGCCGGCTTCTCCTCTGGCTTCATAGTCCTGCTGGATGCACGGACTGGACTTATTCTGCGAGGCTGGCCTGCTCATGAGGGTGATATACTGCAAATGAAGGTGGGTATGAATATGCTTTGTACTTTGTTAATGTGAAGACATGACTCAGTTAAATGTGAGTATTGACATAAGTGACCACTAACTGGAATGGATTTTTAGTGTACACCCTCTGTTGTGGATCAGTGGAAGGTTTGTATTTGTTATATGTTTATCAAAGCCAGTGTTTCCCCACCCTGGGCCTGGAGAACATTCGACTAGGATTGTTGACTAAGTTTCACCTTCACAAAACCTAAAAAATACAGCCATGGTTAACACTTTGTATAGTTTAACAACTTAACAACTTTCTCTGTTAAACCAGGTTTAAATACTTAAGCTGTGATTAATCTTTATGCAAGTGCATTCGAAAGCAAGGTGTTTATGATGATCAGCCAATCACAGGATACATGTGGAGGAGTTGACTGGCTTATTTTTCAAAAAAGAAAAAAGAACATGCTATGCGAGTTTTAGGTGATTAAAGCGTTCAGATAAGTGTAAAAAGCAAGGCGGTCACTTAGGGCATAATGGTTTGGGAAATATTTACCAATGTTGCAAGTTAAATTTTTTCTTTAAATTAAGCTAAATGCCTGTCTTTTTTCCCAAGATGATCAGTACATGCATTTTTTTAGGTTTGAGGTTTGAACATGGAATGTAGTGTGCCATACTGCCAGTTCATGAGCTCTGCATTATTACACTGTAAAATATCGAGCAAGGCAGAAGTTGAAGTGCTTTGGGGAATTTGAACTGTCATAAAATATTGTTTTTGTTCAAGTAAACATTTCCATTGTTTCATTCATGATTGAAATGAGCTGAAAAAAATCCTGCTTTGTGAGAAAGGCCCCTGGAGCCCCCCCGGCTCTGCACAATTTAGTGTTTTCACTGCTCCCAACACACTTAATTGGTGTTGCACCAACACCAATACTTTATCCACATCTGTGCCGATACTGCCGTTATTGACGATGGGGATACCAATGCTACTAAGCAATTTCTGATTCTACACGTATACTGAGTGACGTGCATGCACATCAGCAGTGTGGGTTAATGAGCAGCAGTAAAAATGCTCATGGCAAAATCTGGAATGCCAGTATTTTGTGGGAAGGCAATAGTAGTGGGTAATACACCAGTTGGAATTCTTTCTAAGGTATTCCATTCACTGATAAGCCCAAATACACACAACTACACAACTTGCGTACAGTGTAAAACACGCTAATGTGAGCCCCTGACCTGAATGGCTGAGTGTGGCTTCTTTCAGTAATCTATAATTTCCTGCTGTGTGGTCACTTACAGTCTTAGTTAAGGTTGTTATTGAGGGAGCCAACATTAGAGAAATATGTGGAAGGACCCACCATTCTCTTGGGGTAACTTTAGCCTTTGGCCTTTGTTTAGCCTTTAGCAAAGCAGTCTGCTAGGTGCAGGGCATCTTTGTCAGTTCTGCATCACACAGCAGTGTTGTAGTGTTGCTGCTTTTTTGCTTCAGTCAAGCCGAGAAATCCATGGATCAACTGCTGCTGCTGACGGCATGAATGACCTTAATATTTACTAAACTCCAACGGAGTCTGATGCTCGTAATTGTGCATGTATGGGACGCACAAATGGAAAGACAAATGACTTGAGAAATTCCGATGTGAAACAAGCGCAGAATCAGCACTGTTTTGCAAAGCCAGAGAAGTTACGTACCACAGGTTTACCAGTTTATCCTACCATATTTAGTTTGTCTTTGCTGTTCAGTTCTGCTTTTAACTATTTTGCACAACACAAATATTTTTAATTTAGCTCTGTTGAATGTTTTTTATTACTAATTATATTGTAATAAATGCTAATTACATATAGTTAATAAACAGCATAGTTTTAAGCATCTAAAATGTTTGATAAAAAAAAAAAGTGGAATGCTATAAATATCAGGACTTATTAGCTTGATAGGTTACATAAAGTTAGTACCGGTATTGGTACTTAGTATCGGCCGATACTTAAGGATCAGGTATCAGTATCAGAAAGGAAAAAGTGGTATTGGTGCATCCCTACACCTGATCCAACTAATCAGCTCTTTAACAACCTCTTTCTGATGTGGGTGTACTAAAGCAGGGAAAGCACTAAAATGTGCAGAACAGGGGAACTTTAGGGGGCAGGGTTGGAAAGCACTGATCTGAGCATTTACACATTACCTAATGAGGTCAACACAGATCACGAGTCAATTCAGAACATCATGTCATGTTCAGTCATGGTGAGTCAAATATACATGTACGTGTCTTCTGTTCCTTCCCATGAGTAATAGTGCTTTGTAGGTTTGATGTCTTAACACAAGTTGGTTGTCTTAATAGAAGTGAGTAAGAGGAAGTCACATGGACATGTATATTGCACAGTGTTTACCAGATGTAGTGTCTTTTGAAACCCTAGTGAGACATTTGACAATCTGAGTTGTTTACAAGTTCTGCAAATTATGCAACATTAAACTGCTTGAAATGCTTTGTTTTCTAACTGGAACTATTCTGCTCCATAAGAGGCTATGAGTAGAAGGATTTATACCATCAGGTACGGATAATGTAAACAAACCATTTCAAGTTTTGAATGATTCTTTGTCATTGATTGTTAGTTCTTTCATGTTTTTGTTTTTTTTTTTTTGGTGGGAGGACCTCAGAGAGCTGAAAGTTAATAAATTAGTCCCTCCTTCGTTACTCTGTTCAGTTCATGAATTCATGGCTTAGTGCTGAGCTTTCTACAGGGTGAGCAGAAGCTGTACCCTGACGATTTGTTCAGAAGCAGTCAACAGGAGACTACAGCAAAACAAACTTTATTTAACCTTGATTATCGGGGTCAAGGATTCCGTCTTTGCTTTTGCAGCCCCACATTTGGGCAAATATGGACATGGGTTACTCATTAGGAAGACTTTTGTGAGCCATTCTGATCATTGTACACTAGCCATACCCCTTATTACTCTTATAATTATTATTATTTTTTGATTTTTAAGTTGTAATTTAATTCTAGCTTAACATGTTTCATGTTGTTCTGGAATCTGATACAAAATATATAAAGCATTGTGTAGTACTTTCATTCAAAATGGCCATGAAGTAGTGGTTGTTTAATTTTCAGTGTCAGGAAAAAGCATAAAACACACTTAAGTAAGTAAATATAAAATCATTTTTTCGGTATGTAGTGTGTCTTCCCTTTACCTTTATTACAGCTTCCATTTCTTTTGGGAGACATGCTTTCAGTCATGCTTGTTGTAAACAGCTCCAAAGTTCAGTCTTAGAAGTTGGTTGTATTTTCTGCTTCTCACAGTCCAAATAATCCCAGACACATTCAATGATGTTGAAGTCTAGGCTCTGTGGTGGCCAGTCCATTGTTCTGAGAACACCAGCAGCTTCTTTGTTTGATAAGTACCTCTCAGCAGTGTGCTTTGGGTCATTATCTTGCTGTAGAATTATTTTTTTCCCTATCAGATGTTTTCCAGAGTGTGTTGCCTGATTTATTAGGATTTGATTGTGCTTATTGGCATTTGTGATGCTTTCAAAAACAAAACACTAATTGCATATATTGTTATACATAACAAAACACTGTTCCTCCACCATTCTTGACTGATGGCTGTTGTAGACATCATGTCAATTAAAGAGTCTTTTGTTGCTTCAGCAGCATACATACTGTTCCTTCCAGAGATCTCAAATTTAGACTCTTCAGTTCATAAAACTTTTCCACTTTCCCCCTTCCTTTTGCAAGTGGATTATGAAACTAAACGCCTCAGAAACAGTTCCTTTAGCCATTTTAGATGTGCGTGAGAAAGACATGTACAAGGCAGCTAAGGTGTGTTTGGGTCAGTGACAGGTGGGAACAGCCTTTATTAAAAGGACAGCTGTAACTTGGTTTTAAGATTGGAAGGATGGGAGAGTTAAAGTGGCAGTAGAGTGCACAAAAGTAAAGAGTGGACGAAAAAATACTGATAGATTTGATATACTTAGTATAATTTAAATATATGTTTCGGGCGCTGAACATTGAATAACAAAAGGCTCTCTGACTTTTGTACGTTTCATTGTTTCTGAAAGTGTTTTAATGCATGCATGTTTGTGTCTTACAGGCAGCAGAAGGGAATTTGCTGATTAGTTCGTCCACTGATCACACTTTGATGGTGTGGAAAGATCTGGAGCACAAGCCTCTTCACCAGTACAGAACTCCTTCCGACCCCATCCATGCCTTTGACCTCTGTGGTGCTGAGATTGTGGCAGGCACTGTAGCCAACAAGATTGGGGTGTACTCTATGTTGGACATTTCTGCCAGCCCAGTGAGCAGCACCAAGCTCAGCTCGGAGAACTTCCGGGGGACGCTCACCAGCCTGGCTGTGCTGCCCACCAAGAGGCTCCTTCTACTGGGCTCTGAGAATGGTGCCATCAGGCTACTGGCTTAAGAAAATGATCAATACCAGCACAAACAGTTCTGATACTGAGTGTCTCTTACAGATATGTTTGTTCTCTGTGCCACTTCTGGCTCCTCTTCCTCCTCCTCCTCTTCCTCAAAATGAAACAAACTTTGCCTCTGATCAAGGCAAGTTTGTATGTCCTTTCCAGTTGTCTGGGGGAAGCTGGTGTGACTCCAAGTCATTTATGGAGGACTTAGTGCCTCAATCTTTAGTAAACTTTAACAACATATTGCAAATAATTCACACTCAATCAGAAATTAGAATTAAATGATCAGCCTCACAGAACAGTTTATAATTTTTACAGTTTTTACGATTTATGTATGGAACTCATGACTGCACTAGCTGATGTTTATGTATAGAAAAATCAAGGATGTAAATTCTTATCCTGGACAAATGATTGGTTTCTTTAGGTGAGTGGATAAGAAGAACTGCTCAGGAATGTTGAGCCAAGCATGGTTCTGGTGAAGTGTTTACACTTTGGAAAGTAGATGTACAAAATCACCAAAAAAAAAAACACTGTGAGGATCACAGATCAGACCTTGTCAATGCTATCATGTCACCATACAAGATGCACTCAACTACTATGCAGTATTCATGGATGTTCATTTTAGTATTATACGTTTTCCATAAGCCCTTAATTTTTTTATCGTACATTGTCAAAACTCTATAAGTCATGAGTAACTCTACTCATGATCATGTAAGTGGACCTTAATGATATGAAATGTTGTGTATGTTTGGTTCCAGGATGACTTGATAGTCTCTCACTGCACATTGGTTAAAGGTGTTACTACCGAACGTGAGCACCGTGTTAAATTGCCCAGTCAAAGATTGTCCATGAGCAGGGTTTAAACAATAGGTCAATTGTCCCAACGCTGATGGGATTTACATTTTATTGCAACAGTGAATTGATGCATTATGTTAAATTGTTTCCAAAAATATTCTACCCTTGTAATTATAATAATTTAACCTCTTATGTATAAATGTAGTAATACTTTTATATTTGTGATATATCCTTATATAACCTAAAATCTAACCAATTTAAATTGTTCTAAATTATTGGAATGCCATCTATATACACATTGGACTTTCCTTTCAAACAGTAATTTCATTTACATGTAACCCTCCAAGTTTGTACCATTTGATACATATAGATTGTTTAACAGCTTCACCAAGACTGAATAAATATTACGAAGTACAAGACCAGTAAAACAACCCATGGGTTGTGATCAGATAAGAAAAGAGAAGAAAGAAACTCTCCTGGAGTTGTCTTTGATTAATGTTTCAGCCATAATTGTGCTTTGGAACTGAAACAAAGATTAGTTTCTAATTTTAGATCCATGACTTCTGTAAACAGAAACTACATTTATTTGATCAATATATTTTGCTTACGTGACTGCAAGTTGGCCTACCAAGAAGCCTACAAGGCCAGAGATAAGTTTAGACAAGTAGAAATAAGCTAATTCTGCCACCTCTCCTCCTGAACGGTTTAATTCACTTTGTGCGCATTACCATGTATTTTACTATGTTCGTTCTAAATCTACAAACATATGTCTGAAATAGCAACTGCACTGAATTGTTTAGCTCAGTCACTGTCATTGCTCTCTTGCAATTTATTTCAGCTTTTTTTTTTCTTTTTTTACTTTCAAACTTTGTGATTTTTTCCCCCTTTATGCTCAAATTGTCAACGTGGACATTTTCAGTGATTTGAAGTAAAACAAACTGATCAGAAATGTTAGTTGTTGCAATATTTGTGCATTTTAAACTTGTTGTTTTTAATGGGGAAGAGTAAGGGGTTAGCTACACTGGGAATGAAGCATTAGCATACCCATGTGAATAAGAGTGAGATAATCAGTTTATGTGCCTGTTCCTTTGGAGGTTCACAAGGTAGAACTCTGCCAGCCACTACTGGACCAATAGGGTAAAGTCCTCTTCGAGTGTTTGCCATTTAATGCTTCTCAGCATAAGGTTACAGACCTTTGTGGCTGCTTCTGCAGGCCAGGGCTGGATAATGGATCATATTCATTTCCAACAGCATTCATTCAAAAAATGTCCATATTCAAATAAACACAGCAGCTCTGTGGTTTCATCTCCCCGTCAGCTGACCGAAGTGCTTCTCGTAAATGACTTTGATTCTCGTCCACTAACTGCACACAGTGCTTCCAGTAACTATGTTTGCTTTACTCACAACCCCTTATTAAATCAGCTCTTTGTCCATTCAGTTTGACATAATCACAGATTTGTACATTCCTACTCTCTCAATACCTCTTACGCTTCATGTTTGTGTCCTCAAGATCTGTCTCAATATTTACATTTATTAACAGGTAGTGAGTTATATGCAGTGCAGATCAATGAAAGTTGAACTGTAACCGCCTGCTCAGCGGCTGCCAAACTTTAACAGAGGACGCTTTTCCTATTGCCCATTTGCTGTGTCTTTCTCTCAATTTGGGACTGAATAGCAGGGTCATCTCAAAAAAATTTAAGGTAGGTTCCTTTATTTTTTGTCCATTTTCACATAATCTTTTGTACATCTGTCCAAACTATTATGATCCACAACTTCTAATAGTTTGGCTAGATTATGTGTTATATAAAAGGCTTGATAAAATAGGTTGGGTCTGTTTAGTTCGTTAAACATTTATGCGCAACTTGATCAAGAAGCTTAATAAATAAGAAGGTTTAGTGTCTACTAATAAGTATAAAGGTGGTCAAAAGTCCAGGTTGCTGAGAGTAACATAGTTCATGCTGCATTGTGTGGAGAGAAGTAAAACGAACTATGCTGTTAATATTTCTATACTTGCACTGATAAACATAATTTGTATTTGTCATTTAGTTTGGCCTACTTTTTATTTGTAACTCAGATTTGTGTTCTCTTCTTCCACTGAAATTGATCAATAGTTACAAGACTTCAGCCTTTTTGACCCTTTATTGATCATTTAGCCTTAACAAACAACCTTCCTAACATAATGTGACACATAGACAATGGAAGACAATGGAAGTTTTCCGGAACAATGTACTGCAATGAGCACTGGATTATTCATTTAGGAATCTGTTACGTACTCTTTAGATACTTCTAGCTGGATCAAGGAGTTGCAAGATAAGAGAGAGACTACAGCAACAATTATCCTCAAATCTTTAGAGCTAACATCACCTGAATTTGTCAAAATAACTGCTCTAAGGTAAAAGGTCCTTCTTACGCTCTTCTTTTCATCTTGTATGGCAGTGTTCTGCACTGTGCTTTCATCATTTCATGTTATCTTTAAAAGAGGGACTTCAATCTGTGAAAAAAATACTAAGCAAGGGGGAAGCTGACATGTACTGTTACAATTACATGTCAAAGGAAATTGGTGTTAGGCCCTTTGGCAATTGCTATTTTTTCAACGCTTTGTACCCAGCTGTAGCATATAGTGCTTTTTTTTATCATTTTTCTACCTCATTTGACCAGAGCAGTTGCCCTTTATATTTCGTGAAAATTTCACAATGAACGGACCAATGAAAATGCTCCAAAATTACATAGAATGAAATCTCTTTACATTGATTTCATTGATTCGAAGTTAAGAACGTTTTGCCTTCTTTTTTTAAAATTACTATTTTAGAGATACTGACATATTTTTGGACAACAATGATGTAGCATTTACCCTTATTCTGGAAATTGGTGAATAACAACTGTTTTTTTAACTGTAGATTGGCTTGAAGGACATGGATTTAAGATTATTTGCACTCCTCTTCCTCTGTTGTTGCAAACAAGGCTGGATGGTAAAGCTACTAGTCTATTATTGCTCTTCCCACCTTACTTATCTAACCCATTTTCTATGTTGAAGCTAAATGTGTGGTCTTGCACTTTTCAGCAGGAAGATGTAGCAGTCACAGAGGATGGAGAGGCCCCTGTGATTCCCCTCACACCTTTGATACCCAGCAAACCAAAATCAGTAGGAACTCACCTTTTTCACTGATATAATCTCCAAAGGCCCGCAAACTGATTCTTGATACTTCACTCTTTGTATTTCTTACAGGATTTAGACATTTCTCACGGAGCGACCTCTAGCCCTACCGCTGAGAATGGCGAGAACTCATCAGAGGAAGAACTGGATGGGCTCTGTGGAAAGCATTTGAGTTCCCCAGAGATTAGGCAGGCCATAGGCAGTGGTATTATGAAGTTTGGTCTGCAGCTGTTGGAGAACCTGAAGGCAAACTCAGAACAACCTAACGTCATTATCTCGCCCCTCAGTGTGTCCTTAGCTCTCTCTCAGCTGGCTCTGGGTACGTCCCTGGCACGTGACACTTTATAGGATGATACTTTGTTGCATGTAGCTCAGTGGAGAGAAGGTTTTCTGAGCAACTGATAGCAGGGGTGGTGCTTGTGTTCACCTGCTTGTGTTCATCTGTTCTTAACACTATATTGAGTAACTTAATGCAAAATCAAATATCCTTGCAAAAGTGCTATAGTAGTCTGTGCTTCACGGTACATTTTACATTCATCAAGGTACAAACAATGTAAATGTACCCTCAAAGGTACAACAGTGATTTTAAGGGTGATTTGTGTACCTCAAATAAAATTTTCCCAGAGGAAAAATACATATTTCTACCTTTTCATAACCTAATGCTTTAAAACAGAACAATACATTAAAAAGGCTGAAGACAAGACAGAGTGTGTGGAGTCAATAGAACTCAAAAAACACATCTTCAGTACATTATGGTACAATTATGTTCCCTAACTAAAGTAACTGAAGCCTTACCCTTGAGGGTACCACCCCAGTGACAGTTCAGTACCTTTTTTCCTGAGAGTGTGAAGAAAGATAATATTATCATAATAATGAAGGAAATAAAGATTGTTGTATCTGAATATCAGGGGCAAGGAATGAAACAGAGGAGCTCCTCTTTCAGCACCTGCATGCTGATGCGGTGCCGTGCTACCACAAAGCAGTGAAAAGCCTCCTCCACCGCGTCCGCAGAAACGCCCTGCAAATTGCCAGCCGCATCTACCTTGGCCCTGGTGAGTGAGGAAAAAGGCAATCACACATAACATTAGACATGTACTGCAAAAAATATATCTTGGAAAGTGAAATCATTTTGAATCTAGTCTATACACACTATATTGTCAAATGTATGTGGACACCCCTCCTAATTATTGTGTTCAGGTGTTTCAGCCACACTCATTGTAAATGTGTGAAAAATCAAATACACAGCCCTGCAATCTCAATAGACAACACAGGCTGTAGAATGGATCATACTGAAGAGCTCAGTGGCTTTAAGCATGGCACTGTCATAGGATGCCACCTTTCCCACAAGTCAGTTTGTGAAATTTCTGCCCTGCTAGACCTGCTTCAGTGATTGTGAAATAGAAGCATGTAGGACCAATAACAGCTCAGTCCTGGAGTGGTAGACTACGCAAACTCACAGAGAGGGCCGCTGAATGCTAAATTGAATATCATGTAAAAAAATTGCTTGTAAGCAACATCAGCACAGGAACTGTGTGTCAGCAGCTTCATGAAATGGGTTTCCATGTCGAAGCCGCTGCACACAGGCCGAAGATCACTATGCGCAATGCTGGAGAGGTGTAAAGCATGCTGCCCCTGGACTCTGGAGCAGTAGAAACGTGTTCTCTAGAGTCATGAATCACACTTCACTATCTGGCAGTCTGATGGACTAATCTGAGTTTGGAGGTTGCCAGGTGAATGCTACCTACCAGACTGTATAGTGCACACAGCAAAGTTTGGTGGGGGAGGGATAATGGTCTGGGGCTGTTTTTCAGGGTTTGGGTTAGGTCCCTTAGTTCCAGTGAATGGAAATGTTAATGCTATAGCATACATTGTAGACAATTAAATGCTTCCAAATTTGTGGCAACACTTTGGGGAAAGCCCTTTCATGTTCCAGCATGACTGTCCCCCTGTGCACAAAGCAAGCTTTGTGAAGACATGGTTTGACAAATTTGTTGTGGGAACAATTTGTTGTGAGGAACTCCAGTGGGCTACACACAGCTCTGACCTCAACACCCTTGAGATGAATTGTAATGCGATTGTGAGCCAGGCCTTCTCGTCCAATATTAGTGCCTGACAATGCTTTTTTGAATCAATGGGCAGAAATGCTGACAGACACATTTTCAAAATCTTGTGGAAAGCCTTCTCAAAAGAATGGGGGCTGTTATAGATGCAAAGTGCAGGCCGACTCCATATTAATGCCCATGGTTTTGGAATCCAATAAGCTCATACAGATGTGATAATCAGGTTCCCACATACTCTTGGTCATATGATAGGTGTAATATTTCTCATTGTGAGTTTCTTGTAAGCATAGTTTTTAAGTCATTATATCTAGTAAAATTAGTTATTAGCTTGTTTAAGGCATTATTTCTTGATAAGCAAAATGATCTGCACCCTCTGTCTGCCAGTAGTATAGTATTCTTACAACAATCTTACTATGAGAAATAGTAGATATAGTGACCAGATCAGAACTGTTTTCACTTGCCAGTTGTTCAATTAGTTTTATTTGATTCCATTTTATTGTATTTAGTTGCATGAGACCCCGCAACCCAGAAGGATAGGCGGCTTTGAAAATGTGTGTGTGTGTGTGTGTGTGTGTAGTTGCATGAGATATCATTTTGCCTGGTGTATATCGCTGTTGTCGGAAGAAAACCTTGTATCTCCAAAATGACAACTTTACAGGAGAAGGAAAAAACCTACATTATTTTTAATGTAAGTCAATAGAACCAGAATTTTTTCCAAGTCATTTTGGGTCATTTATTTTTGTCCATTCTACATAAAATTTACACACAATGTAAAGAGGAACAAGCATTTTACAATTATGCCAAAATGAAAAACGAAAAAAAAGGAGATAAGAGATTTTCTTCCGACAGCAGCGATATGTATTGTGCCATGGACATTCGCTGAGTGTAACATATGATCTGTGATCATTTTCTTCCCAAGGATTTCAGCCAAAACAGGAGTTTATTCAAGAGTCTCTGAAGATATATGATTCAGAGCCTGCGATCTTGACGGAGCTCGAGGAGGTCAACGAGTGGGTAGAGAAATCCACAAATGGTTATGTCACAGACTTCCTGACCAGTCTTCCTCCTAACCTTGTCATGATGCTTATCAATGCTGTGCACTATAAAGGTAATGCACTACAGCAGCTCTTTTGTAAGAGGAAATACCACCTTATTCCTATGAACAGTAGATAATTGTATCCTATGGAATGCCCTTGCCTCAAGCTCATACCAGAATTTGTGTTACCCTGACCAGAAGCTGCCCGTTGACACTGCGTCAGGGTAAAGGGAAAAAATGAGCGAGAACTCATCATTGCCATGGATAGTTATTGGCTCCGTGTCATATTTACTTGTATCCTCAAATTTTAGACTTTGTGTCAATATCCTCAGCTTGATATTGTGATCTGTGAGCTACTTCTGTGTTAATCTGGAAATACTCTTTGGCTCATTACGCTGCTGTAAGACCCAATGCTGATGTAATCACATTTTGCTCTAAATATCATGGACTTTGATAGAGTTTGTAATGCCATGTATCTAAATAAGAAAAACAGCATGCTACTTCATTAATTGACAACCACATGTAAATAGTCAAAAATATTTATTTTGGTCTTATTTGACCAGAGAATTTGGATCCAATCAAAATACTAATGATGTTTAGCAAACTCTGTGCTTACATTACAGTAGTTTAATAGGAGTTGAGGTTTTCTTCCAGCAAGACCTCCAATATTCCTGTCAGTGTCTTGTAGATTTATTTAAGCTTGTTGACCTTAAGATGCAACCAACTTAAGGTTGGTTGCATAACAGTCTTTCACTTTTCAGCTGTGCATGAGGCACAATATATAGGGGGGCAAAAATATATAAAAGCATAGATCTTTTTTACTTGCTGCAATAAGTAGGTTGCCATTCAAAGTGTGTAGATTACCTAAAGGCTAAAAATCTGTTGACCTCCTGTGTTGACAGATAAGAAATGGAGAGTTTGTCTTGAGTGCTGCTTCTGAGTTATACTCGATGAAAAAAATAGTCATCAGTCGAAAGCAACTGTTTTAACACCCCAGGTCAAAGTACATGCTTTGTTGGTTTTCAAAAACAAGCACACATCCTCTACAGAGAACACACTTCTGCATATTTTAATGCACAGTTACTGCTTATTTGCTGAATTTAACATACTGGAAACAAAATAAATCATAAAATGTGACCTGTGAAGTTATGGCATATTCTGTATTTTGTTTTATTTTGTTTCCTGGAATTTTCAACTGAAATAAATATATATTGTACACTGGCATTTGCAGAAAAATACCATATTTAACTTTGTTAATGATGTAGCTGATGTGCTCACTTGTTTTCACTTAGAAAATATACAAAATATGTAACTTGACCAACAGTGTTCAAACTTTTGCATACAAACGTACAAATGAGAAGATGTTGTAACATTTTACTCTTAATGACATGGATTAACCTGCTGATCATTTTCATGAACTATTTTCACTTCCTTTGTTCATATATACCAAGGGATATTGGCAGAGATATAAATATATATGTTTTTTATGTGTTAAAGCAGCACTAATCCCCATTTCAAAAATCACAGCTAGGACATAAAATAAAGACACTGGACTCCACTGAGAAGCAGTATTGTGAAAGCTAGCATTTAGGGATAATCTCTATTGACAAAAAAACGTAGTCAAAGGCTAAGCTTAATCCTTTTTGGGGGAACAGACCCTCTTAACAAGTATGCGTCTTATGTCTTAGAATGATTTTGTATTCCTTTTCCTTTCCTTCAGGGGAATGGCTCACACGCTTTGACCCTCGCTTTACTGCGACTGAACCCTTCTACATTGATGAAAACCTGATGGTCAATGTTGACATGATGCTCGGCCCAAAATACCCACTCAGCGTTTTCACTCACAATGAACTTGATGCTCAGGTACATTTCATGTTCTTTTCTAATTTTTGTTTATATTTTGGTTACATAAACACTTTGATGGTAAAATGTGAGTAAACAGAAACACCTAGGTTTTTTTTTTTGTACTGGAAATTTCTTTTTTCCTATGTTTTCCCCTGATAGAATCACAAAGGACCACTTGATTTATTTTGTCTCTTGACTTTTTCTTATTATTGTTCCACAGGTTGCACATTTTCCGTTCAAAGGGAATATGAGCCTGGTAATTGTAATGCCTATTACTGGGAATGTCAATGTGACAGCGATTGCGGCCAATCTCAATATCTCAAACCTTTATAGCCGCTTCCCACGAGAGAGAAACATGCAGGTCAAACTCCCCAAGTTTAAATTAGATTTCTCTCAGGAACTTGATGAGGCCCTAAGGAGCATGGGTAAGAAAGCACGCTGGATTTAGTTCAAACCTAAACAATAAATACTGCCTTTCCTGTCTCATTTGAGAGCAATGTGATAATTAATGGGAAATCAAATTTGCACAATTTTCCCTGTGTAAATTCCCAGTGTCTGAAGTTTGCTTCTTTAGTTTTGCACTGGAACTATGAGGCTACTGTGGCTAAAAAGTAATGGAAGTCTACAGTCTCTCTAGGTGATATAGACTTCTGTTGCATCAGCCTCATAGCCTCAGTGCAGAGACTGAAGACACCAAACATGTCTCGGCTGATTGACTACATTCATGGCAAAGGGAAAATTGTATAAATGTAATTACCACTCAATCTATTAGAGGGGAATTCCACCAATTTTTCCATGTAATTAAATAGTTAGGTGTAAATAAAGTCATTCAGAGTGAGCTGATGTGTAATTATCTGTTATAGAGAAATTTACCAAGTCAGAATTCACAGTGATGGTGATTGGTACCAGACATCTGAAGCATTTAATGCCTCTGAAAGCTACATCACAGAAAGCTATTACATGAAATAGTTATGAATAGACTAGGCTATCTGATGCCTGAGACATTGTTTTACAATAGTTTTGAAATAAATGTTTGGCCTGAAACATATTTTTAAATGCATTTATGGTGCCAAGGTACATGTAGAGCTTTGGAAGGCAAAACAGTCCACAAATTATTTTTTTCACATTAACCACTGTTTTACCACTATCAACATTATATACAAAAACTCAGAAGACACGTGTAGGTTCATTGACTGTTTTGAATAGTAAATAAAATGCCTATTTTTGCATTTTAGACATTGCAATCCCTGGTTCCTGTCACCACCATGTAAAGAAAGTCTATATGTTTCTTTACGATGAACCATTTTACATGAAGACTTTGTTTACGCCTCAACATTTGAAATATGCAGAACTTATGCAGAAATAATCAGTGTAATTCCTCTGTAATGACTATTGGATTCTCCTTCTGTGTAGGTCTAGGGGAGCTGTTTACAAGTCCCAACCTGGCTGGTATCTCAGACGGCCCCCTGCTGGTCTCCAGTGTGCAGCACAAGTCCAGCATGGAGATAAATGAAGAGGGTGCAGAAGCTGCTGCTACAACCAGTGTAGTGATCTCCCGCTCCAACCCCTCCTTTACAGTTAACCAGCCTTTTTTCTTGGCCCTCATGGATGATTCCTCTCAAACACCACTTTTTCTGGGGGTTATTTCCAACCCTAACCCTAGTGGATCTGCCATGATATCTAACCCAAGCGATTCAGATAAGACAGGGTTCGTTTCTGACAAGGATGATGTACCGTCTTTTGCCCTTCCACCCAAATGAGCGTTTTCAGCAGAGGGAGACTACAACTGATGTTGAGCTGCACAGGGCTGCCACACAGAGGCAAATGAAGACCTGCAATAAATCCAGGCACAGCAATTCTATTGTGTAAAACGTTTTTAATGGACATGGGTCAAATATGTAGTGAAATTTTGAAATGATTCTTTTCACTGTCTGGACAAATTACTGTTCAGCTTAAGATCAAGCTCACATTGGCAGCAATCGACTTTGAATACTACGTGTCAGTGCTGTTTTCAAAGCATGATAGTGAATGATTAAAAGTGTATTTAAAAGACCTAAGTGTGTTCTTAATGTATTTCTTTCAAAGTTGCAGGGCTAATACGGCACACGATTTGGCAGTTGAATAGTTTATAGCCTAATGAAAACTTGATGTAATTGTTTCCTATTTTTGGTGCAATTGTGTGCCTCCCAAAAAGAAGGTCCTTTGCTAATAAATGCTAGATGTACTAAGACATTACATAGCAATTCTACAGGGAACTCAGTATTTAGGTAATCTTTTGACCTGATGCCTTTTTTAACTCCATTTGGGGTTGTTTTGTCACCACTGTAAGAATACATTTCCTTGAGTTATGGTCAAGCAACTCTACTCACCTCTATTAGGAACACTGAGCTAATAGCTTGCTTCAAACCAGTTTAAGTCTAAATGACATTGCTAAAAAGCGCAACACTGTTCATGTAAAAAAAACAGTGCTGCTATTTACAGTTACAGGGCTGATTAGAATTTAATTCATGCACATATAACCTTATTGGTCATTCACTGGCTGATGTGGTATAACACAGCTATATGACGGGTTATATTGCTGATCACATACTGATAAGAAGGATCTCTCGTAATTTTGACAGATCAGTTCTGAAATCTGTTATGATGACCTCTGTTAAAAGTTCATGAGACTACCTGCAGAAACTAGCAAACTTGCAAACTATATATTGAATAGATAACTTTATGACACTATATACTGGCATATGCAAAAGTCTGAATACCCCCAGTCAAATTACATGTTTCTAACTAAAAATAAGTTAACACATTCTCTACAGGGAAGAAACTTAAATATGGCATTTCTCTGCAGATTTTGATGCATTTCTGTTCATTTGCTGAGTTTAACATATTGGAAAACAATAAAAAATAAAATGTGCTATCACTTCTGCCACATTTTATGTTTTATTTTCTTTCCCCAAATATGTTAAATTCAGCAAGAGAAACAGTAGACCAATTGTGCATTAAAAAGTGTGTTTTCTGTAGAGGATGTGTACTTACTTTCACTCAGAATATTATTATTTTAATATTTCATTTGACCAGGGTGTGCAAACTTTTGTATTTCAACTGTAGGTCAAGAAATGGAATGCAGTTCAGCTTTACACATCAGAGTTACACTTGCCATAATGAGAGAAAAAATTCCAATGAGATACACAGAGGATACAAACTTTGAACAAAAACCCTTCATTTAATGCATCTCCCTTTTTAGCATTTATATATTAAATTAAGGAAAACATGTAGACCGTGTAAAGAGAGATGCGTGTCTTCATACAAAAAAAATAAAATAAAATAAATAAATAAATAAAATCAACGAATCAATGAATAAACAAACAAAAAAAAATCTTCAAAATGATGTGGGCAGAAACCTTAATTAATGATCTCGTTGTATTTATTTATTTATTTAAGGAAACGTGAGATGTAAGCTTAAAAACGCTAAGCAAATAACCAAATAAACACGAATAAATAAGTAATGATATTAGTTAATTAAATAATAATGATATGTGGCTGTACAACAGGAAGCTTCACAGTACTATCCTCCGACTTTTTTAAATACTACAAAATAAAAGTGGTCATCCGTATGATGGAGTTATTGTGGACATGAATGAATCTGTAAATAAATAAGGAACATGTTAACATTTCAGGGTAGGAGGGAAAAGTGGACAATAACATGCTTGCCTGTCCGCACCGGCGGGACGACCACTTTTAATATTTACCGGAAGTGATGTAAGATACAGGAGCGCGCGCTTCCACTGAAAGTTGGCGCCACGACTCTTGACAACAACACGGACTCGGAGTGGAGCTGCAGAAAGAGCTGTGATTTCATATTAAACAAAGAGCTTCGCTCACAACAAACAGTTTGAACAGACATGAGTGTTAAGCTGTCAGAGGGCGCGATTGAGGTTCGTGGCTTTAACGGGGTGCATAAAATGGATATAAGTGAAGAGTGTGAGTTATTTGATGCGAGGCCGAAAAGCAAAGCAGGGCCACGGCGATGCAGAGCAGCTCAGAGGTGTTAGCTTAGCTCGTTAGCTATAATGCTACCTGGATTAACTACAACATATAAGAGAAATGCGTGATTCAGTAAATATAAACTGCTGTCAATGTATTTGTATGTACTGTTGAGACGTATCCTACAGCATGAGTCTTCAGGTCTCCTCTGTCAGCTTGTTACGGACTGTTACGAACTTGCTAGCTAACGTCGTATAGCCGTTTGGTTAGTTAGCTAGTTACTGTTAATATGGGCGAGTTTTGAAGTGTGAATAAATGTTACATTTGGTGGTGTATATATTAGCTACAGTTATTCGTGCTAGAATTTCATTTTGTCCAGAGAGCATACAGCTGTGTGAATGTAGGTAACGTTTGTTACTGTTAGCTGGTGTTGGTTAGGTGAGAAGAGTGAGGGTGTCTGTCTCGGGTCCTGAAGTGCGGCAGAGTTTTCCCTCCATGAACATACGATTTAACTCACTTGTTAATTACCAGGTTTTTGCTCAGGGAAGTCGCCCGACTGTGTCAGTTAACGTTCATCAACATTGGGTTAGAATGTGATGTTTGTTAACCATGCGTAGCTGGTCAAACCTCCGGTCTTTTGTCAAGACAGTAACAGAGCCCGGGAGCCCCGTCCTATACAATGAAGAGCCGCAGTTTTATTGACACGGGTCAACAACAGTTACTGAGCGAGGCTGACAGAATGTTATTCTCCAAATGTGTCATGGTATCATATGATATTTAGATTAACATCAATAAGGTTAATTAATACTGTCTTAATGAATACTGGCGTTTTAAACTAAAGGAATATTTCACAAATCTGACATAGCTTGTTATTAGACCTGGTCTGCTCAGCTCTGGTCCTGGAGGGCTGATATTCAACACACTGGTGATTTTCCTTCTCAGACACCTGATCTGTTTTGAACTTTGGTTGATGTGTAGCTGTGGAATTACCAAACTGTGATGGACACTGGCACTTTACGACCTGAGTCGAAAATCACTGAATTGGACTGTTTGTTCCATTTTTGGAAAAAAAACTTGCGTATGGTAAACACCAAGCAGACTGAAAGCACATTCCCAGAAAGAAAATGTAATACTTATTTGATTTTTATGAATTCAGAACAGTCCAAATCTTCCCACAGATATAGTTTAGTTGCTTACATCAATAGGAGGTCTGTTTCAGAAAGATGATGCATCAGTTTTTTGTGTAGGCATGTATGTTCTACATTTGTTATTGTCTTCTTGTTACTCTACAGACGTGTACTACAGATGTGTTCTTTCGTTTCAGGCCCTGACCAAAGGTGGCAATGTTTCAAACCCAGTTCTTCAGTTGGTTGTAAGTATCTCCTTCTCCTTGGGGTGGAAGGCATTATTGATGTTAAATAACTTAAATAAGCAATTTCCATCAATAAGTAATTACAGTATTTTTTTATATTTGGACTTGGAACTTTTGTACATGCATTGTGACATACATCACTGTTTTGTTGCAGCGTATAGGTAACCTTTGTGTGAATTCTGTAATTGGTGTTAGTTAAGCCAAGTTTAAAAAAATCTATTTATAGATCTATTTATAATCTTATTATAATATTATATCTTATTATAATCTATTTATATATCTGTTTATAAGTGTTTAGTTGTTCATTGACACAAACCTAATGCCAAAAACAATTTTAATACTTGGAATAATTAAGAAGACACATTATATTAAATCATATTTTAATGCAGACCCTCTTGCATAGGCCAGATGTCCCTTGGAGTTAGTCTCTTGATCACAGTCTGAAAACCAGTGTGGATGTTTCAGCTTGTCTTTGAGCAGTCATAAAAAAAATACAGTCACAAACAATCAAACCTTTAGAGACAGTTGACCCCTAGTCTGTGATGATTGAATGCATCAGACTCATACAAAATGTAATACTTTTATGATACTGACTGAATTCCTTTGATAATACTGAGTATAGAAAACATCAGTGTCATTCAGAATGTCATTCAGCACCAGATTTTTTTTACCAATTTAGTCTTATTTTCATCTGTGAGCCTATAAGCATGCTTGTTAGATTGCTATTAATGTCAGTGTTTCTTAATTAGTGAAAAGGCCTTACAGCGCCCCCTCTGGCGCCAGTGGACACAGTCCAAGATATACTGAATATGTAACTGAAATACCTGAGGTTTTAAATGATGTAGATATTTATTGATAATTTTGTCCCAATTTATTGATTTTTCAAAGTTTTACTGTCCCACCCCTGTTCTGTTTGGTTTGTTACACTCTATGTTTATCCTCTAGGTTATGCCTGAATGTCTGTGTTTGAAGTGTTTAAAAATCTTAATTAAAAAGAATAATAATTAGCTAGGCATGATTGCACTGAATGGATTAGAGATCAGAAGATCTTATTTTGCTGCATTCTTCTGAAGTGTAAGATGATAAATTTGCCTGTCATCTGTAGAATATTCGAAAGATTGATGGAGGCAGTGGACCAGTGCGTTTTCGACTCATGATGAGCGACGGCCTTCATACCATGTCCTGTAAGTTGTGCAGTTTGTGTCTCCAATACCTTTTGTTTGCTTGCTCTTTGTTTTTGTATAGGGAATTCACCATATGAGTAACTGTAAAGGGAGCAATGTATATCCTGTAAGTAAAATGCGTTAAAATAAAGTGGAGAATGGCAAAGAGAAAGAAATCTGCCTTGCTTATTATCTTCTGTGATTTTTTTGTGCATCCCTTATCCTTTTTGTGGAGAATTGCTTTACTGTGAATATCTTTCCTTCCTTTACTTAGACAACAGTGACCTTAAGAGACATTTCGCCACAAATATATATGAGTATTTGGAGTAAACAAAGGCAGAGAAATAGACATAATTAAGCACACCGACATGTTTTGTGCATTGAGGTGCTAAAAGCAAAGCAATAGGATGTAGATAGGGGACTGTGGAGGGATTGGGTTTAAAATGATCAAAGAGCAGGGTGGGTGGGGGCCATGAATACACCCCTTCCCTCTTTTAATTTAGAGGGATATAAAAGTGTTGATGACATGCAAGCTCATGAATAAGTTATAGGGCAATTTCATTGCACATTAAGAAGCACTGTTGTCGTGCATTCTAATAACCTGTTCTCCCAGACATTACCAGGTTGTAGATATGAGCTAAAAATGTTACTAGTTTTCATACTTGCATACAGAAATGGCTGTGGAGGTGTTTATGCTTGTGTTATAATTTTAACTTATTTGTCTGATTTCTCTCTCCTGTGTGCAGCCTTCATGCTCTCCACACAGCTGAACTACCTGGCTGAACAAAATCTGGTAGCTCCAAACTGTGTGTGTTTGGTGAAGCGCAGTGTCACAAATGTCCTTAAGGATGGACGGTAAGAGCTCATCCGTTTTTCGAAACTAGTGTTCTAACATTTACAAGCTATTACCATAAACAATGTTTTGGGATGACAATGTCAAAATGAACATATAATAACATATAATTAATCTATCAGGCTATTTTTTTAAATTTGTGCCAGTCAAGCAATTTAAAAAAGTAAGTCTTTTATTCTGCAGTTTAATTTTCAGGCTGTAATTCTGTGCTGTAATGCTGATCATTTTGCCATTTTTACAGCTCTTCACATTTAATTTGAAATGGCTTGAATATCATTCCATAGTGGAAATTCAAACTTAGAAAGGAACCAAGTGAAAGGGAAGTACAATTTAAAAATTTTCATCCAGTGTCAGACCTGGGGTCATCATCTAAGGTTGTAATCATATGCCCTATTAGTTCTTTAAAAATGGCTCTGATTGTCATCAGTCATAATAAAGGTTGTCATGTTTAAAAAAACACATTTATTAAACAAATGTTTTGAACAACCAAGGTGGTGGAGAAATATGTGAACCCTAATATTTGGTATCTAGTAGCATCTTCTTTATTGGCAGTAACTTTACGCAAGTACTTTCTGTAGCTGACCAGTCCTGTGTGGTCTTTGGAAGTGATTTAGACCGATCTTTCTATGCAAAGCTCAGATCATGCTTATTTTTGGAATGCCTTGAGTGGCCTGCTTCAGTTCATGTCTCAGCATTTTAATGGGGTTAAGATCAGAACTCTGACTTGGCCGCTCTAAAATGTGGAATTTATGATGTGTGTTTGAGTTTTCGAGAGTACTGGTTTCCTCTTTTTTATCCTCCCATGACTAGCACTCAGGAACACTGCACCCTGGCCCCCTTTTGTTTTGATTGCATGGCAAGCCCTTGCATTGATCTTTGCTGGGCACCCCCTCCTGAAGTAGCAGCCATGCTGAATTTATGACATTGTTTTATCTGCCTGACTGAACTCACAGAGTCTCTTTAGAAATTCTTGTCACCATTTCTAGTCTGTGAGCATCAACATCTGAGGCCATACCACATCAATGATCTTCATTGTGTAAATCATATTGTTCTTAATGTTATAGCATTATAAATTATTTTGCATTTGTTGGATGTCAGTAGGATTGTTATCAAATGGAAGGCATTCGTGCAGAAATATGTATGATTACAAAATTAAGTTGTGCTCAAAATTCATGCTGTAAAGTCATTGTTTGTGTGAGGCAGGCCTGTGGTAATTATACTGGACATGGAGGTGGTCAAGCCTGCTGATCAGGTGGGAGGGAAAATAGGAGATCCAACTCCTTATGTGGAAGGTGAGCAAGTGCTGTACTATACTGGAAAAGGGATTGTTTGGCTGTATGTTTGCTTCTGACAGATTTGATGCATCAATATTTTGCTCCTTCAAAGAGCTACATCAAGCCTCCTAATGTATAACATTACTGAGCATTGCATTGTCTGTTTGTTGGTCATGCAGGTCAATCTAAGGCTCCACAGCCTGCAGCACCTGCTCCTTCTGCACGTCCACTTCAGCCTCAGAATGGAGGTGATGGTAAAGAGCACTTGCTTGAAATCTTAGATGGTTATTTACATGAGTTATTCACATTAAGAGCATATTACACCAGTGGGTTGCTTATGGTAATGTGCAATAGTAATACTATCTTCTTTTTATATCAGTTTTTTATTTTTTGGGTGCATATTTCAAGCCAATGCCCATATGTAGTGTGGTTGTGTAATGTAGGTCACCTTGTGCCTTCCCATAATTTTCCAGCAGGTGGCAGGATGCTTTGCACAGAGTTTAGAATACAAAATGCAGTGGCTGGTATAATGCATTTGTTAGTTGTGCTCAAAACATTTTAATTGGTCATAGCTTTTAAAGGGGTGCAGTGGATTTTTTTAATTTGACAGTTTGACAATTTTTCTAGCTTTTGAGAGCTCATTATCTTCAGGTATGTGAAATGCAGTCTAATTTTCCTTCTGGTATGTTAGGCAACGGAACAGATATTTAACAGCTCACAATTAAGTGTGACGTCCTGTAATGTGTAGATAGGAAAACATCATGATAAAATACTGTATAAAGATGTAAGAGATACCAGCCATTGTATTTTTCTTCTGACAGTATCTCATCAAAGAGTGCATTATTAGGAAATAAGTCTCTTTTCTTTTTTTTGGGCACAAGTGGTTTTTAGCCAGTTACAGTGGCGTTGTTTTTGCAGTTTTGAACTCTGTACAGTGTAGTGGATACTTAATTAACTCTAGCTGTCTCATTCAGGTTTATCTCTTTGCACACTTCAGTGGGTTTTTCTTTTGGCTCTGTTCTCATTAGGCCCTATGAACAGAGGCCCCAGTCGTGACTTTGGGAAGAAGCCCATGAGTGCGCCCAACACACCATCAGGCACCTCGAAAGTTGTGCCTATTGCCAGCCTTAACCCCTACCAGTCAAAGTGAGTTTGAATTTCTGTCTTGATGAACTGTTTTACTGTGTAGCTTCTGCTCCCATACAAATATGTGTAGTGCTGTTTGTTAATTGAGACTTTATCCTTAGATGGACAATTCGAGCACGTGTCACCAACAAGAGCGCCATTCGCACTTGGAGCAATTCTCGAGGAGATGGAAAGCTCTTTTCCATGGAGATTGTAGATGAGAGCGTAAGTATCAAATATCTAATCAGTTCAACATTTGTAATACTTGTCTGCTCACTAGTTTTTGTTATTTGCAGGGAGAGATTAGGGTTACTGGATTTAATCAAGAGGTGGACAAATTCTACTCCCTCATCGAACAGGGGAAGGTAAGGTAACATTCTGTTCACACTGGTCATTTTATAATCCTTTATTTTTATTTATTTATTTATTTTTTTTGGATAATCACTATTCAGTTACATGTCTGCTATCAAGCCTGTGTCCGATCGGGTTTCAAGCCATTTTTTCACGTATGCCATTGGACTCTCTGTTTTCTAATCTGTATTTTATGGGGGGTGTTTTGTAGTAGGTAGATTTTGTAGTAGATTTGTAGATTTTTTTTGCACTCTTACTCCTTTTCACTTCTGCAGTCTTTCTTGCACACGCTTGCCTCACAGTGGCATTTGTGCATTTGGAATCGCTTTAGCACTGAGTTTGAGAGAAACCGAGAATTAAAGCAGCAACAGCAGTAGAGGAACTTGGAGTGTACATGAGCAGAATGGACTCGAGTAGCAATAATAAATGCTGTTACATCAAATTTTTGAGTATGTAGTAGGCCTGGACGATATCTAAAAATAATTAGTATGAAATTTTCAAATTAAAAATCATGATTATTAAAGATGTCTATTAGGACTCACGCCCACACACTACTTAGAAGGGGAGCCCAATTTTCCAATTTATTTACAAGCTGTTTAACAGTACATTAGTCTTCTCTAATTCTCTGTTCTTTTCCCAAAATGCATATTATCTTTTACACATTGTGGGTTACACATCGGGTTAATTGTCCATCATCAGTGATATCAGATTACATTGTGCTGTTTGCTCAGGCCTAGCATGTAGTACTGGGGCTGAAAAAGTTGCAAGTGTGTGACTTAGATTATTTTTTTTGAATTCGCACAAATTCACACATCTGTGATATTGTTTGTTTATTTATTTTGTATTCACACAGGATTAATTTCTCCTAGCATGTTTTCATGTTGTAAAGCACGGGTGTGTTATAGATGTGTATATTACTTTCTTTCTGAAACTCAAGTCCTTAGTAACAAAGCAAAGCACTGTAAAACAGTATTGCCAATAATCCATCTCTGTTAGTGTTTTTTAAGTTTGCTTCGTATCTGAATGTTCCATCCCCCCCTGAAATTGCACCTCCAGAATGTAACTCTGTACCCATTAACGTAGAATGAAATTTTGAATTAGACGCAGGCAGAGAAGAAGCCGACTTTAGCCTTGTGTGTCCGTGCAGGTTTAGGTCTGGCTTTTCTCAAATTTATCAGTATCATTCAAGCCTGATCAGGTCAGGCTTCAGGTTTGCAAGTTCAAGCTTTAGTTTCAGACCTCTCATTGTTACTAGGTCTAAACGGGTCTTAAATATTCACCAACCAACACTCATCTTCATTGACATTTCTTTTTAAATTAGCTGACTTTATTTCAGTTATACAAATGTGGCGCTGTTATAAAATCCATGGAGTTGCATATCAAATGAGAAATTCTTGCCCAAATGTTCACTTGAAGGAAGTATCGCACAGTGTATATGCTGTGTTGTTTATCAGAGTCTAAATCGTCTTAGATGCTGTTCTCATGAGTGCTCAGTCTCAGGTTTGTATTTTTCTGCTTGTCTGCTCTGCAGGTGTATTACATCTCCAAGGGCAGCCTGAAGATTGCTAACAAACAGTATACATCTTTGAAGAATGACTATGAGATGACCCTGAACGGTGAGTCCACCATCATCCCCTGTGACGACAGCCAGGACGTTCCCATGGTGCAGTGTGACTTTGTCTCCATTGCTGACCTGGAAGCTCGGGACAAGGATGCCATCGTGGGTGAGTCTGCTAGCTGTGCGATAGCCATCATTAATAACAGACATTTTGATAATTAGCTGCAGCGGAGCGGACAGAGCAAGTCTGTGGCTCCCTGAGATGGATGTGTCACTGGCCCAGGAGGCTGCGGTAATTATAATAATGTTGATAAACGCAATATTAATAATACTGGTGACAGTAATAGCCTGTGGCGCAGATTGACTTTGTGTCCCTTTTGGAGAGCAGAGGGAGAAGATGCTGTCGCTGTTTGAATAAGGAAGTAATAAGCACATTAGTAATTACGGTAATGGCAGCAGGAGCATGGTAAGGTGCGGCAGGAATGTTTCTCTTGCAGGCTTTGAGTCAGGTGTTGGCAGTGATTTGTGAAATATTCTTAATGGTGCTCCAATGAGTCATAACGGCGTTAGATAAGTGGATTATGATGGCAGCTCTGAGGAGTGTGGGAGCTCGCTGTAATGAAGCTGTGACATGTTATTGGATTACACTCAGAATGAATGACAGTGTCCAATGTCATGCTGATAGACACAGGTAGATGTGTCAAAGTCATCTGAAGTATGTAAGGGATTACTGAAGTGGCAAGTAGACAAACAGGTAACAAGCACTGCCAGCCAGCATGCCAAATAGGAAACTAGTATGAAGCATGTCTGGGTAAACAGTTTGTTTTTATGTCTTTAGATGTGATTGGTGTTTGTAAGAGTGTGGAGGATGTGACTCGTATCACAACTAAGAACAGTCGTGAGGTGTCCAAGCGGAACATCCAGCTGATGGACATGTCTGGCAAAACTATCCAGGTCACCATGTGGGGGAAAGAGGTAAGAACAAACCTAATTTCAAAAATGTTGGAACAGTAGGTAAAATGCAAATTAAAACGAAAGCAGTGATTGACAAGTCTTACTTTCACCTGTATTTGAACAAAAAGAGTACAAAGACAAGATATTTATGTACTTTTTTCCTAAATTTTACCTTTTCAAATTTGTTCATTCATTGTGGTATGTGTGTTTTTTGTGCCTAATAAAATGTTTAGGGAAGCCAGAGAAATATCTGTGCGTAAAGGAAAAAACTGAAAACCACAAATGATGACCTCTTAGATAGCACTGCATTAAAAACTGGCATGTTTTTATGGGTATCAATGATGGGCTCAAGAATACTTAGAAAATCTTCATCGGGGTGGGGAGGGGTTTGTGAGAAACCTGCACACCATTAACGCTGAACACGTTTTGAAGCAACATATGCCGACGTTTAGTCCATGTCTTTTTCAGTGACACCCGTGTTATTGCAACATGAAAACACCAAGCCAAATTCTGCTCGTGTTAAAAAGCATGGTTGCATGTGCTAGACTGACTTGCCTGCGTCTAGATCTTTCTCCCACATGAAAACGTGTGTTTTATTAAGCTCAAAATATGACAAAGGCCATGTATGGTTGCACAGCTGAAGACTAGTATAACAGAAGAATGGCAAAAACATACATTTTCAAAACTGAGTCAGTTTGTGTTTAGTCTCCAAATTTTATTAAGTGTTAAAAGAAAAAGTGATGTAACGCAATGGTAAACATGCTCTCGTTCCAGCTTTTTTGGAGAGTGTTACAGGCATCAGATTTTAAATGAGGTGTATATTTACCGAAAAACAAATACATTCATAATTTAAAATATCAGATATTGTTTTTGTGGTATTTTCAATTTTATACAGGTCAAACAGAATTTTTAATAACTGCCTTCTGTTATTAGCGTTTTGTGTACTGTCCAAACCTTTTTGGAAATGGGTTGGAAACAGGTACAGATAAATGAGACCTTGCATAAATTCACACTTGTCTCTGGTTTAGTAATTTGCAAACTCTGTTGTGCAGTGTCACTCAGGACAAGCTGCATTGATCTGGTAACAGGTGGTGGCCTTTAATACATTGTTACCTTGACACTTGCCATCATGACGTCTAGCTTTAGATCAAGATGTTATCTGTAGAGTCTTACTTTGCTTATTTAAATACATATGTGTTCCTCATGTAATGCATCATGATAATAGGTAAGCATTGTTTCTTTTGTATATAACCCTGTATATAGGTGGTAGGGTGTAGAGCGTCTGTCCTATAGTCCTCTCCCCTGCTTCAATGTGTGAAAACGCCCTCTATCCAGTTTGCTGTGTAGTGTCACATGACAAAACCCACTGAGATTAGCTCAACCTCTATTATCGGGCTGCATGGCACTGGCTTTTTGTTTGCCCAGCAGATAGTCTTTGTCTTTAGGGATTTTCTGTGGAAAGCTAGATGTGCTGCTGCATAAACAACAATTACAGTAGGAATAAATGCCATGTATAGTATAGCACCGTAAACACTGAAATTAGATACTATATTTAGTTGTTGAGGATTCTGTGTAACTTTCTATTAAATGGTTTCTGCTTTGTTCCTGAGTTAAAAAATGAATAGTTTGTTCTTAATTATCATTTTGACTGGAAATTAAATAAATTTAGGGTGATCTTTGAGTTTTGCACAGTACTGTACGTGGAATCTGTTTCTGATCCAGGACTATCATTGCAAGCACTGATCTTTTTACCTATCTGTCTATTTAGGCAGAGACATTTGATGGCACTGGGCAACCCATCTTGGCCATAAAGGGTGCCAGGCTTTCTGACTTTGGAGGACGCTCGCTCTCTACACTCTACAGCAGTACACTGCTGATTAACCCTGACATGCCAGAGGCATACAAGCTGCGAGGCTGGTGAGTGAGACTTCTGAGCCTTAATTGGTGCTGATATCATTATTCAACCCAACCAAAAGAGTGCATTTGTGATATGGGAGAGATGTAGCTTTCTGGTATTACAGTGGGCAGCAAGAAGTGTAGATGTTTGATGGGAAGTAATAGAAGTGCTTTTCCTGTTTTTCTATTCAGTCAATGCTTTTGTCTGAATATACATGCAAATATATAAATTAATATATTCTGTAGTAGTGTTCTACTCTTATGATGATAATGACAACTATAATTCTTCTTCTTCTTCTTCTTCTTATTATTTTTATTATTATTATTATTATTATTATTTAGCACACTGATACTAGGTTTTGCACCATCTAACTTTGCAGTAGATCTCTTATGCTGCCACAATTAACAAGATAGAGATAGAGATCCACACATTCCGCAAAGAACAGATGGTAGAGACCCATTTTGTATTGTACTACTTGTGAGAATTGGGACATGCAAAAATAAAGCACTAAAATGCACGCTTCAGAAAACAGCAAGGGGAAGCATGCTCATGACTTTGATACCAAGATTAGCTTCGTCTGAGAGGATGCGCTGGGCTCCTCAATCAGTGCTGATATAAGAAAGCAAATCATCATTAATCCCACACTAAGATTTGCTGTTTCCCTTGTGACTTGCATGTAAATAGCACTTGTCTCTCAAGAACAGCAATGTACACTTCTTTTATTGTAGATTTGAAGCAGTAGAGCTAGAACAGGCAGCAAGTGAAAGTGTAATGTGGAGAAAATATGAGTGTATGTGTGTAACAGATAAACAGGGAGCTAAACTGGGTTGAGCCACATGCTCATGGCTGCCTCTATCATATGAGTGCAGGGGCCTTCTTATTCCTTAAAGACCTCTTTATTGGCTGTTTCTGCAAAGGAATTGAAAAGCAGTTATGACTCATGTTTCATCTTTTTTTCCCCATGCTTTCTCCTGCCAATTCAGTTATTTATTACCCAAATTATGGTACATAGTGTTTACCATATCCAGAAATAAACAAACAGCTTGTTTGTGTGGGGTGTGAATGCTTGGTATTTCATCTTACGGAGATGTCTAGTCTGCTCACAAAGCTGTGAGAGAGCTTATTTGCTATATAGCTGTATGATGTAAGCAGTTGAAAGTAGAGGCATAACCGTTTAGCGTTTAAACGTTTAATAATTAAAAATAAATCACTGGTTCTAAAACCTCACCCCTGGGAGAGGCAAAGATTTAAGATGTCAGCTTTTTGTGTTGCCCAGGACTGCACAATATATTGTTTCATAATCATAATCGTGATGTTGATCTTTGGAGTATTGTTATTGTGAATGGCTGCAATACACAAATAAACCCTCTTATAAATTACTTTTATTTGGTTATGTGTGTTTGCGTGCCATGAGGGTTTTTATATAAACTAATATATAAACTAACTTCAGGTGCTCCAGTTGAGTTTCTGTAGGTATTTTTCTTGATCAAGGCAGTCATGATTCATGCATATCATTTTAAACTGGTCTAAACCCTAACCTATAATCTTGTTTCAACAAAAATTTGCCAGTGTTTTTTAATATATTGCAGAGCATATCACCATTGCAATATGGTTTTAATTAGATTGGTATAGTTTTAGACATAATTCTGGGAGCTGCTGATTTCTTGGCTCATACTAAACCAAAATTCATCAATCTCAAAATTTCTGCAGACTTGTCTTGGCTTTACATCCAATCTTCCAGAAACTATCAAATTATCTGCAGGAGCCTGAACCTTAGTAATTATATAATATAATTACCTTTGTTAACTTGACCACCACAAGCCAATCAGTCATTTTGGATCACAGCATTGTTGACTAAAATAGCTGTGTAACTTATGAAGACTTTGATTCTGATGAAACTTGATAGGCTTATGTGTCGGAAGATTCTGCAGTAGATTGTCAATTTTGGTGATTGTAAGTCATTAGTGGGAGCTGTAAAAGCTAAATAGCCATTTTCTGGCATCCGTACATCCAACCAAGCTGAGATTTTGCATGCTGCACCTTTTGAGCTTAAAAATTGTCTTGACATTTGGAAAACTGTGACTGTCATCTGCCAGTCAAATTTCAGCAAGCATTCGACAGGCTTAACATTGACCATTTATTAGTATACTTTAATGGTGTGTCTGTGTAGGGACTCTCGATTTTCCAACAGTCTATTCTAGTATACCTCGTGCATCATTTCACTTGAGGACATGAAAATGGATTCAAATACTGCAGTTTAGTGAGCCTAATAACTTTCGATTACAAGTAATGTTTTTTAAGTAGTGTTTTATCTGTTGTAAATTGTTTAAAAACAACCAATTTCAAACTAGTCTTAAGATTTTGGTCTAATCATTTCTAAATTGGTCTTAAAATAAGAACTGGCATCTGTAGGTAAATAACATATAGGGAAAAAATGTGTTGACATTTTTGCCCCCCACAGTGGCCACATAGTAATCAATCATTGTGGCCTTGGCACTTCTGAATGAAATTACTAAACCTTGAAAATGGTTAGTCTCATCTCAAAATTTATGAATTGAGATTCAATTGAGACATGAAAATTTGACCCAGACTGGCCTTCAAGGCATGCCTCAGTGCACAGTGAGACATAAAATAATTAAAAGTCACTATTGCTGTTATTTTCCTCTTCCTACAGATAAATAACTGGTCCACTGTGATTCATTTTTTTAAGCTAGACAACTTTGTAATTACAAGTTCTGTCAGAAAATGCTTGTCTGGCATTTTGACTTATTTGTTCGAAGTCTGCAGCTTAGAATACCAATGTCAAAAGGTAAATATGTACTAAATTTGATCAAAAATCATAACATGTGAAGGCCTTTTGATTTGACTTATCATTTATCCTGTGTTGGAAAAGGCCCCAATCCGACATTAGACTTCATTGAGCTGGTTGGTACTTGGAACCCACAGATTGCTGCCTGTGGCTGTATTTTTTGTGTAATTATTTTTAGGGGGATCTGACAGTTTCATTTGTGTAACAAGGGCAGTGAAATGTGACTCATCATATTGAAATTGGGAGGAAACCTAACATGAATAAGCTGTAAAAGCACTCCTTGGTAGCTCTGTAGTCTTCTTACAAAGATTTCCAAAGGATTGAGGCTCTGTGTGGCCATTTTCACCAAGAGCTATGAATGGTCAGTGTTTTTAATTAGAATTTTGGCGCTTAAGTGAAGGGGTAGGCGTGTGTTCCATCCTGTGGTAGAGAGGAAGAAGAGTTGTCCTTTCTACTGTCCTCGCTTCACATGGGGGGGCAGGGATAATGAGCTATTAAATGTTGGCCAGTTGCACAGCGCATGGCTGGCTGGCCTGTCTTCTGAAGGCTCAGAGGCCTACTTTAGGCCCCCATCAATTAGCAGTGCAGGAGTAACGGATGGAGTGTTAACCTCAGCAGTGAGGAACTTTTACTGAGGCCTGCTGCTGATCGATAGCTCATCTTTTGATTTCTATATTCGGTGCATTGCCTCGTTCTCCAAAGCTGAAACTTTTCTTGTAGCTCGTCACAATGTCCAGCCTCCCAGTTATACCTATTCTCAACTGTGTCCGTCACTAAGAGTATATATTCCATTCATCTGAATAAGAATAAGCTTTTTAATGAAAGTGCATGCTTTGATCAGTTAATCAGGAGCCCTGGGGGAATACTCGACAACAAACTCCCTTGGGCCTTTTGAATCCACACGGTAAGGATAGGCTGTAGCACTCTTTCTCTTTGCTGGTCTGAAAGGCAAAATTTTTTTTTTAATCACTCTGTCATTAATCATATAGATGACATTTTTGATGTTTTTAACAGTTTAGTGTACAGATTTTATGCCTCTTAGATATTCTTACTGTAAAATTTCCTCAGTCTCACTCTGATGTAGCACTGTGAACACATGGAATACTGTTTCAGGCTCTTTAAATGAAAGAGGATTTGCATAAAATTTGGCTTTGCTCTGAGCATTAAATATGAGCTCTGTGGTGCAACTGTAATATCTGTGCTTTAACCAAGTATTTAATAATTAACAACAGTGTGAGATTGATTGATTAAAATATTCTTTATGTGTTTAATGTTTTATAGTTGCTCCAGCCTTTGTCAGTGGTCATTAATTAACTCCCTTATCCAAGGGAGGAAATTATTTGCCTTATGCTGCATCTATTACACTATTTGCAGATGCATTTCTGTCTTTCAGAACCTCCAGTTTTCTGCTTGCATACTGAGATATCAAACAATATTAAAAAATATCACTCAGATGTGATGGATACCTTAGGGTTGATCTCAGTACATCAATGTTCTGTGTCTTGCAAGTGGGGAATGTTCAGTTTGATTGGTCAGCTTGTGTTATAGCTTGGAATTAATGATTACCCCTGAAAATGTTGAATAACATGGTGCTATTGTGAGACCGTGGTTGTCCATTAGATGGCATCATAGGTTTGGTGGACTTGTGTCCTACTCTTCTAGCAGTGTCAGTCATGCTGTCTGTTCTGCATCGTCTTGCCTCAGTTGTTCTGTCCATTCATCAGTCTGTCTCTGTCTCTGCTGTGCACATAAGCATGTGTGGGTTAGTAATTATTCTCACTACCAGAGCCAGATGATGCCAAGGTAAACTGTTTACAATTAATGTTGTCATGATATAAATAGACATTTTATGGAAAATGTGTATCCCAAGACATTTTCATACGGTATGCATAACGTCAGGCCTTTGAGAACCTATACTCCTCTTAGTATTTTCTCAGCCGACACCCCTAGAAGAATTACGTTTGGACTGTGGTTTGTTCGGTTTACAGTTGAATTTAGGTATATGTATTTAAGTACTGTAAATGTCTTTTTCACTGTACTCTTGCTTTGTGGTCTGCATTTTAGAGCAGCTCAATAAGTTGGCATTTTCAGAAGAGAAGCTATAATAACGTCAATAAACCTTTATGTACCCCCCCCCCAATCCCCCTCCACTGTAGTGTCTCTCTGGTGCATGTCAGCACTGCAACCATTTCTGAATGATAACTGCTTTCGAGTGCGAAGTCTGCCACAGTCTTTTTGCAAATAACCATGGACAAGGACCTCATCACATTTAAAGAACGCTAATCACTCAGCCCTGCATTGTCACCGTGCATATGCCTACAACCTTTTACAATTGGGATCCCACTGAATCCCAGTGATAAGATGCCTCTCATTGTGTGGGTGTGTCATTTGCCCTACTTTTTAATGCTTTGCTATCATGGATGTGCTGTGAGTTTCCCCCCCCTTCTACTGTTGTTTCTGTCATGTGCCCTGTCATAACAGTATTTCTGTCCTTTGTTGTGTGTTTCCCTTCGACATATGACAGTCGGTTCCTCACCCAATCTCTCTTTCCCTCTTTTCTTCTCCAGTCTGTTCAGTTCTCCTCAGACATGCTGCACTGAGTCCTTGCCTGTCAGTTCAGCCTTCGAAAGTGCACGCCAGCTCCAATTTGTCCCTGCACTATCCTCCTACCATCCTCCCTCCTTTGTGCTATGGCCATGCTTATTCTTCTACATATACAGCTCAGTCAGCTATTTCCTGTCTGCCGTTTTTGGTCCTGCTATGTGATTCAGCAATGTTTTGTTTTTTTTTAAGGTTAAGCAGCTGCCAATTAGATATAACTAATGCATCTGTTCTTGGTTGCATTTATGGCTTCTCCCTCACCTTGCCCAAGTTGTTTTTATGGCTTTACCTCAATGGTCTCTGCAATTGTAATCCAAATAATTTCTCCTGAAAGCATTCTTAGCCATCATTTCCTGTGTTTTCCCCCTTAATGGAAATGACAAATAGTGCTCTTTTAATCAACCTACTTCTGATTAATTTTCATTTCATTATGGGCACTATATTTAGTCCATTACTCATACACAGGCAAAGCTGTGTAACAAAACAGAAGAAAGAGTAGAGCTGCAAGACCATGTGCCATGCTGGAGAATTAAACCCATTTTTCAGAGGGAGCTAAAATTGGCAGGACCCTGGATGCCAGGGCCACACGCTTCCTCGTTAATGGGGATATTTTCAATTAGTCATGCCTCCCAGAACAAGCCCTGAACCCCTGTATTTACCACCTCGTCTCACCCGTAGTACCCCAGCCCTCCAGGTTATAGATTAGAATGCTGTATTGATCTCTCACACTCCGTTCCAACCTGAATGGGCTTTGTTTCTCCGTCTCCCTCACAATCCCCCCCCCATCCCTCCTCATAGCCACTCTGGAGCACCCCAAGCGCTCAGTGAAAATGGGTTTCTGATTTCACCATCACAACCCTGACCCCATCTCACTCAACTGTCCCTGTGCTGTTGATTCATTTCACACGTAGCGTTGCTGCTGCTGTTTTTAGTCTTTTTCCCACCTACAGCTGTAACTCTGCTTTTTTGTTATCTCCCTAGTTGCAGAGTTAAGATGCAATGAATTCAGCTGAATGAGTGGAAAAGCCAGTACCATTTTAAGAAATTACTTTTCCCCCCCGGAGGCATATCATGGCATTTCTGACCACAGTCTGGAATGTTTTATTTCCTATGATGACAGGTATGATAAAGAGGGCCATGCCCTTGATGGACAGTCCATGACTGAGATGAGGGGAGGTGGAGGCAGCGGTCCCACCAACTGGAAGACCCTGGCAGATGTCAAAAATGAACACCTGGGCCATGGAGACAAGGTAAACAGATTTCTGAGTTGTATTCTATTCAAGAAGCTTCAGTACAAATTTGCAGTAGATACAAAAATAATTTGACTGTTCGTTGATTTATGACCAGTCCCATTCCGGATTTTCCTGTTCCACCTTAAATGGAGCAGCAGTTACATTCTGGTGCCTCAAGTGTCAGTACTGCTGAACTATTTAAGGTGGAATGGGAAAGTTCAGCTAGCTACCTACTGAGACATTAGCATTCTATTAGCGATTTTTTTTTTATGGTTGTTTATGAAGAAAATGACAAATACATTAAAAATACATTAAACTAAGACAATTCAATGGTTATCATAATTTTTAACTGAGAAAATACTAATTTGTGGGTCCTTTGGTTGCTCACGCAGCCATCTTGCCAGTTCTTCTTTTTTTCTCATAACACTCCATTTGGAGTGTGCCTCTGAAAAGCCTCCATTTGGAGGGCCATGCAGCCCTGATACTTCGCCCTACCCCTCTATCTCAACAAAATCGGGACACCCTACCCATAGGCATGTATGCGCAAAATGGAGGGCTAAGGACTAAGTGGTAGGGGCAAGGGGTGAAATGGGATTGGGCATTAATGTGTATATATTAAGTGTTAAAGTTATCTGAGCATGCATTAGAGAGACAACTTCTGTGCTGCAGTGATTCTCATTAAGGCTTTCCACTGTGTTATACTCTTAAGATAATTAAAATGAGTTAACACGGCCCTTTCCTTAAATCTTGTTTGAAAGTTTGGACATTGTTGTAACCTTCACAATATTTTTATGTTCCGTCCCTTGTAAATACAAATTCTGTAGCACCTCCAGCAAAAAACAGCGGAAAAAAAAATACTGAAAGGTTTAGGTCTGGTACTTTGGTCCTGCACTGAAATTTCAAAAGAAATCTAATGTTAAGGCAAAGTCTGTAGCGTTGAGTGCTTGTCATTCAGAATTATTGGCACACTCGGCAAAGATCAATGCAAAATGCTAAAATGTACACTATGGATCAGTGTCCTTCAGGAATACCAGACTTTGACAGTGTTATAGGCAGCCAAGATTCCCAGAGCCTTGGGAAGAAAAACATACTTCACAATGAGCATTAAAATGCAGCAGCCTGCCTTTTTTTGTATCATTTTATTTGTGTATTCTATGATGTGTTCCATGTTAATGGATGGTTAAGGATGCTTGGCTGGTGTTGTGCTCCCAGATTTATACCCTTATACCCCAGTGAAACAGGAAGTTATGGCTCACCACTGAAGAGTTCCTGAAGACTTGTTTATAGCAATTTATGCTTGTCTTATCGAAGTAGTAATAATCCTGGAGGGAATCCTATGTTGACTGGCAGTAAAATGTGAAACTTTGCTAAGCTAGGAATTTTAGAAATCGTGTTCAAAGTGAGTTGGCACTGAGCTGCAGTCTGATCTATTTCTGCTCATTAATCACAGACAGTAATGCCCTTCCCACCTGGCCTTCCCAAGGTATACACTTAAGAATTACTCACATTTATCGCTGAGATGGAGAGGACAGATTAGTGGGACTCAATTTATTGAGCTTGATAATTAAGAGATTATGCTTCAGATAAGCTGCATAATAAATCTGCTCTTGTCTACTGGATTTGTAGTCATGGCAATGAGTGTTGCACACAAAACCATGGCAGGAGATACTTAACAAATTTGTTTGCGACTGATTTATCTTTGAATTTGCTTATTCTTCCAAATTAAAATAGCAGTCAGGATGATTGGAGTTTTGATTGTTCTTTATCCTTGTGAAGTTCCTCTTTCATTACTTTTTACATGTTTTACATGGCAGGCTGGTAACAATAGCAGCATCACATCAGTTCCAGATTCCATTGTACATATTATTTAGCCCTGGATGCCATCAGGTTGGCAAAGCAGTGCTAGTGAAATATTTTAAAGCCCAAAAAAGGGTCACCGAAAAAGGGTGAAGAACCCCTCGATTATGTCTTTAAAATAGTATTTCTGTTGAATTTTAATACTGTCCTAACATGGATCTTTCACTGCATTGCACCAGCAACAGGGCAAGAATGGAGACTCACATTTGTTGCACACATTCGAACTGAGTACGACTTATGAGGAAAGCACTGAGAATATAGAGCTTAAATGTGCCCTTTACCTTAAGTTGCTTATTGTTTTTTGTTATCAGAAGGAAAATGCTATTTTGCTGCTTTATCCAACTGCCCTCATAAGGGGTTAACTAGTTATTGCTTGATTGGAACTGCTGCCTCCTCTTTCCATTTGAATATGTAAGCATCTCAAGATATATATTCCCTAGCCATACTAGGGATCCAGCATTATCCAGTCTCTCCTTTACCATAGAATCTAATAATCCAAGTCACATACCCAGTAGTCCAATTTTTCTTTTCCACAACCAACAGAATAGACATTGCAAGCACAACATCAAGACACTGATTGTTGTCTATGGTGTTTGTGTTTACTGTGAAACTGCTTTTATTCTGGTTTTCTTTAGTCACTGACTGCCAGATCAGTCAGAACCTCCGCTGTTGCCGTTCCCAAGTGTTAATGTATGTTCTAGCCAAAGCGTGAAGTCTAGCACAAAGCACAGTTCTACTCTTCTAGTATATTTTTTTTGCTTCTTGCTGTATGCTAGCAGCATGCCAGTAGTTTCTAAGTAGAAACATAAGATGCTGATTTCCATGCTAAATTATGCCTTCTAGACACGATCAAAGCAGCTATGGACTATATCGGTTTATAGTCCTGTTGCAGCAGCGGTACTCAAAGATGTGTTGTGTATGCTAGGCTAATGGTAATCCAGTAGTGGTGGTGCAAGTTACCTTGTAGACTCCCTCCTGCACCCTCACTCATAAAGATTTTAGAGGGAAGGCTCTGTTTACCCCGGCTACACCAAACAGTCTCGCATTCCCACATTTGTGACAGTTTCTATCAAATGTTATGTGCTTTGTCATTTTTGTGATTTCTCTGTTGATGGTGGATGATGTTTTCTGATGCCTTATTGTTGCATGTGCCATTGGTTGAATTTAAGGGGATGTTATTATTTATGAAGGAGAGATGCGATTATGTAGGCAGAAGAAAGAATGCTCAGAGATGAGAGAGAATAGCGAATTATCAGAACAGAGAAGTGATGTTTTTAAGAGTATCTGCAGAGGGATACATACAGAAAGAACAACAGAATAAAGCTTTCTGCTATCACAATGAGAGGAAGAGAGAGTGGGAAAAATGGAGGACTGCTTATAAATAAGCTAGAACTGAATTATTGAATAAAAATACCCTGACTGGGTGCTGTTAATTTATTGTAGATCTGTAAAGAGTTTGTGGGACATTTTAAGTTACATTGGCAAGCCGACGAAGCTGCAGGGACCTGGACGTAAATAATCATCACCCTTCTCCTCACACTATTATGACAAATTACTTGTATATTTATGAACTACTATCTGCACTCAATTGAGATTTATACGCCTCCTACTTTATTTTTTATCCTAGTCATCAGAAACCTAAAAAAAAAGGAGTTACAAATTATGCATCATAAACTCCTTTAAGAACAGTTCACACTGCTTTGTAGTATTCATTTGTAACATTTTGCTGTGGCTAACATACAGGCTGTTTAGGTGTCCTCTGTGTGTGCACTGGAGCATTTATAAAGAACAAACACTTGTATAGGTTTTCTGTGCGGACCATTTTAGTAGCGTTTGTGGCACACAAAGCTGAATGTGCATAGGGGAAATCAGATCTGTTTTCTCTCTCCTCTCTAAGCGTTTTCTGCAGGGTTGGGAGCTTTTAACTTAGCTGTTTGTATCGCAGGCCTGTTTGCCCCTAAATTCATTTGTGTCTTGGCATAGCAGTCCATAGTCAAGTTAACTCCTTTAGCTCCTGTTGAGATAGGGATGCTGGAGTTGGACAGAACCTAGTCGTTATGGCAGATTTGTGGTCCAAGCTGACTGAGAAACCCTTATGCCTCTTTTTTTTTTCCCCTTCCTCTCTTATTCTCTCAATAACGCACTCTCCCTCAAACAAAGATCTTAGCATGCCTTTATGCTCTCTTGTGCTCAGTTATGACAAAAGGTCAAGCCACCAAAAACACTCGGCTGCGCTGCTGTAATTAATTGTTCTTGTCACATAGTCTTTGTGTTGGTCTCCCACTCCAACAAGGCCATGTTGGTCTCCTGACACTCAGCACGGGTTAAGGTTTATGCTCATCTACTTCTTTCATGCTCATCTACTTCTGCCCTCCTGTACTCTTAACCATCATAAGTTAAGATAAATGTAGCCGCAAATGGTGCTGGTTTACCATGAAAGGGCAGCCATTATAACAATCAAATCCTGCTTTCCATCCTCTGGCATCATTTTGCAGTAAAGTGAATGAAAAGATAATTATACAGGCATTCACTTGATTAATTACTGCTTTTTTGGAGAGGCTAAAATGTTCAGGCAGATTTTTTTTTCCAAATGAAATGACAGTAATTTACAGAGAGGTTCTGTTTATTGAGTAGCAAGCGTTTTCCCCTCTTGCTTTCTGCCATTGTCACTCACCACTCCCTGGAGGCTTTACATTTATTTGAAGTGACGCAGAATATCAATTCTACCCCTTCTAGAAGTTAATTGGGGTCAAATTCCCAAAGCGTAGCAACAGAATGGTCAGCAGTGAACCTGTTATGAGAGAAATCAATTATAGTTGCTTTTGTTTTTGTTTTCATTGCTCATTTCCTTAGAAAACGCGGGGTTAAGACTTTGCCAGAGGCCTCTGTGTAGATTGTGGTCTAAACAGGGATGAAAGTCCTGTTTGCATGAAGAATGCAGTGTTCTGAAAGGTGAAATGCACTCTTTTCCTCCCTGGCTTTTATTAGAGAATCAATTTTACACTATAAATATGAGTCGAGACTTTCTGATTATGAAAGAGGGCTTTATAATCCTTTTGAGGAGCAAAATACCATGTGCAATCTACCATGTATCCCTGGGGTGAATCCGAATTCAGCTGGAGTGTGTATGGGCTTTGTTTTTGTTTGCTTTTCTTTAGAGTACTGAGCTGCTTATTTTTCTCTTTTAAAGAGCAGTGGTCACTGCTGAGTTGTTCTCTGGCCTAGTCGCCCACCTCTCTTACTATAGAAATGGCTCTCCTCTTCTGAGGCTTGCTGAGTGAGCAAGCTGTTACAAGTGCAGTTTAAAACAGCACAATGTCCTTAGCTGACTCTCCTCCTCCATGGCCTTTGTTGCTCCTGGGTTTAGTTCTCTCTCCAACCCCCCTCCATCCCTGTGGCTGTCTTTATTTATTCCAGAGTCACTTCTAGTTAGAAAACTAAACAAGCAGCATTAATTTCGAATTACGGTTGTCATCTCCAGCCCTTTTGACGTTTTTCCTTGTGTCATGTGCCAGAGTTCTTTTGCATACGTTTATCTCTGAGCCCCAAAAAAGCATCCGCCAGGTGCCGCCTGCTACTGTGTTCCACCTTGCCTCCAGTCTAATTCCAAAGATGTTTGTTTATGCATGCTCTGCTCTTTAAATACCATGCTTTAACTGAGCAAGCAGGTTACTAATTTTTTTAAGTAGACGTATGATGCTTACCTACATTTTAAAGTTTGGATTACTACACTTTTTATTCGATGGTTAATGAAGTCAGGTTGACAATGGAAATAAAAGCGCAGTGTTCTGATGTTGCATAGTAAATAGGATGTCTTGCACTATGATTAAAATTGTTCCACTCTTAGGCTTGTGCATTATATGATGTATTCCTTGTTAATTGATGTAAGTCATCTCTCTTTAGGCAGATTACTTCTCTTGTGTTGGCACCATTGTGTATATGAGGAAGGAGAACTGTCTATACCAGGCCTGTCCTAGCAAAGACTGCAACAAGAAGGTGGTGGACCAGCAGAATGGCATGTACCGCTGTGAGAAGTGCGACAAAGAGTTTCCTGACTTCAAATATCGTCTCATGCTCTCTGTGAGTCTTTCTCTCTCGCTCTCACTCTCACCCATCTATTTCTGTTGCCCTTTCTTAAACAGTAGATTTCAGTTGTCCTTGTCTTCCCTTCTCCTGAAGCTTCCTTAGAATGGAGTGCCACTCTTTTCTTGGTCGTGCTCTGTTGTGTACTTTTATCCCCCTTTCCTTTTCTCAGCTTCTTTCTCCCCCGTCTCAGCTCGATCCTTCTGTTCTGGCATTGCCTCAGTTATCCCTGTTTGCCCCTAAAATAGTAATTTCAGAAATAGATTAGTATTCCCCAGTGTAAGCAAGCCACATGCTCTAAATGTTTAGTGGCTGTTTTGGAGCCATTTAATTTTTACTTTTCATTCTTATTCTGTTTAGATTGTTTTTGGTTAATTGCTCTTTTTCCTCCATGCTACTGCTTATTTTGCAGATATGTGCAGAAATGCACACAAATGAGGGCATTTTTTTCCCATTCCCTACTGCTAGTCTGCAAAATGATTTTAAAAATAGGAGCATTAAAATATTAAAACTCATTTAGTCAGCAGGCCCAGCTCTTGCAGCCAGACATGTGAAATAAGCCGATTTTCCTTTTTGTTTTGCATCCCTTGCTAGTCAGCACATCGAGGTTCTCCATAACACTGTAGTAAAAGCATATGTTTGCACCAAGCACAACATAAATGTGTCTTGGCACTGTTTGCTTTGCATGAATCTCTCTGCCAAATCTTTTTCAACAATACCTATATTCAGAGGAGGTGTCATGAAATGGTTCATCAGACCATTGAAATTTGGATTGAATGTTTTTGTTCCTGTCTATGCTGACTCAACTTATCATGCTCTCTCACTTTCCAGGCAAATATTGCAGATTTTAGTGACAACCAGTGGGTGACATGCTTTCAAGACAGTGCTGAAACCCTCTTGGGCCAGAAAGCAGATTATATTGGCCAACTCAAGGACTCGGTGAGTTTCTTTTTCCCTCTGTTTCTATTTCTTTCTCTTTCTCTGGTACATGAAAGTGTGGCCTCAGGGACTGGCCAGTGCAGTCGAAAGCCTCATGGAGCAGCACATTGTCACTGAATTTTGATTCTGTCTGTGGTGTTGAGACATAAACCAGGTGTGTGTTTTCTCTCTAAATGAGGCCCCCCCAGGGCCTCATTTAAAGAGGTTGACTATCTGTATTAGTTTAGCTTCAGACCTGACTAGCTCACTCTGTTTTCTTTCTTCTCTTTTATATTCTTGCACAGAATGAGGCTGCGTTTGACGAGGTCTTCCAGCATGCCAACTTCAACACTTTTGTCTTCCGAAATCGGGTGAAGTTGGAGACCTACAACGTAAGTACAGCCTTAATTGGGTCTTTTTGTTGTTTGATCATATCGCTTAACCAGAGAAATGAAGTTGTGAAGTTGCTCATTATTCCACAAAGCCTCTGCTCCATTGTGTTCCTATGCAGTGCAGCCCTCTCTGAGGTGGGATTGTAGCTTATTTGTCACTTCATTCAAGCCCAAAAGCTGAGTTGAGGAAGGCATCATTTTTGGCTCAAAACTGAACAAAACCAGTACCAGTCTGTTGTGCACTGTTTATTGTGCTCCAGAAAAATACAAAAATTGCCTCCATTGCTTTGTAACTATTTTTGCGTCAATGCCTGGGTTTGCACAGATGGTGCTGTGAAAGTAACATGCTCTCTCTCAACACAGGCTCATTCACATAGAGTTGTGTGAATAGGGCAGATTAGTTTGAATTGCAGGGGCATTAGTTTGGCGTTTGGGGGCAGATTAGTTTGAATTGTTGCGTTGTGAAGGCTGTGGAGACTAAAAGGATGCTGTTAACCCTATGTTCCAAAGGGGACTCGGAGGAGTTTAAACTGAGCATATGTCCCATTCTGATGTCTTTCTTGAGCACAAATTTTGTATCTTTAGTAGAGAGAGGTGGATATCTGCAACTTCAGAGTGTTCACTCTGTTTTTTCCACTGTGGTTCTACCTGTGTAAAAGGTATTACAAGTCAAAATGGTATCCTGCCTCAGAGTGAAAGATAAGATAGTGTAAGGAATAGCTTGATTTCTGTTTTTTAATCAGTTTAGCTGTATGGCAAGGCAGCAGGCAGGCTCTGACTAATAAGGTTTATATTATCCTTGAGGGAAATTTGCACTCATCTTTAGTGGTACATCAATATCCACATTCCCGCCATAGAGTAGTTAGAGAAAGATTGTTAAATTACATGATATAATGGAATCGGGCCACAAACCTTTCTCAGCAAATTTGAAGGTGACTCTAAACTCAGCTCTGTGAAAACAGTATATCAAAACATTGATAGCCTGCTTATTCAAACGTTGGTAGCCTATATTGATCTCAAATAATTTTTAAAGGGACATTTTTAGGTATAAGCAGATATAGCTTTTGATAAGGTCTGATTTTGCAGGAAGGAAAGTATGGAGAAAGAGGACTGTGATATGTAGGTAGAGTGGGGGAAAATAAAAATAAAATAGTCATGAGTTCTTGATGAATTGAGCATAATTGGACTGCAAGAGAATGCTTTCTAGGATGCTTTCATAGTGGGTGGTGTGGTAAAAATTCATATCACAGTTTTTTTTTTTTTTAATCTGTTTTTTAAGAACAGTATTCACTGAAGTGAATCTAAACCCATATCTATATTTATTTTGAACATTAACAAGATTTGCAAGTTAACAACTGCTTCTCTGGGCCCAGCAATAACAGTTGTCAAAAACCACACACATCCAAATTTCAAATATCCAAAAGGTTCTTTGTCTCATACGTGCGTCCAAGACGTGATTAATTATGCAACCACCAGTGATTGCTGTAATTTCGTAAATATTACAAGTCACTGTCATCATCAGTAGCAGATGAGATGCTGTGGAGCCTCGGCTTGTTGTGAGGACCAGGCCCCGAGATTGCGCGTCATCTGAGACAGCTGACTGAGGATGGCGGCACCACAGGTGCAAAAGGAAACAGAAGCACAGGAGGTGGCCTGGTGTCCAAGCTAGGCTAAACCCAAGAGACCATTAGTTCCTTCCACTGTTAAAGACAAAGTGGACCAAGTTACTTCTACACAGTGAGAGGTGATCAGGGGACTGCTGTGTTTTCAATTTTCACTTAGAACATGGCTCAAAAGACTCACTCAGCCATTCAGCTAAAAGGGTTAAGTGTGTTTTGCACTGACGCTGCGTTATCTGCGCTTATTTGTGATATCGATATGAAGGTTATGACAAAACTCAAATAACATCTGGTTAGATTGGGATAAAGTGATTGGGCTTTGTACTATAGGAGATCACAAATATTGTATTGCCATTAATCTGTACCTCTTGGCCAGCATTACAATTAATACCGCTACATGAGTGAATAGGCCTTTTCACCTCCTTTAAGCGCATAGAGGCTGATGTTTATGGTAAGGAATGTTTAAATCCGCTGTTAGCTGAAGCCAGGTTTAAAGGGAGCAGTTGAGACTTCTGTTAGCTTCAACTACTAGCTTTGGCATTTCAGCCAAGCACCTTTCTCTGCACTCCTCAGGGAACTGCACATTCCCTGCACAGCTCATGCTGAGTTTGTGGTGGAAAAGCAGCAGGTGAACTTAGAGAGGAAATGGTACTGGTAGTGTTTTTGGTCTTTATTTTGCTGTTTGTGAAATTTGGATTGATGTGTCTTCTTTTCTCTCTAGGATGAATCTCGCATTAAGGTGACTGTGGTGGAGGCTAAACCTGTGGACCACAAAGAGTATAGCAAGAGGCTCATCATGAACATCAGGAAGACTGCAGTGCAGTAGAGAACTGCCGCCAACACCAAGAATGCTGTTCAGCACTTAGATCAGCTCTTCATTTTGTGACCTAAAGTATAAGTGTGCTGTTCAGTGATGTTTGTCTTTGTATTATTTAGTTTGTTTTGTTTTACTTTGTCTTACGATCTGCTAATACTGATTTACCAAGCGAAAGCATCCTTTTTTGTTGTTTTAAAGCACTCACAGATGCTTAAGTTATGCTGAAGAGTGCAGCAGCAGTGGGGTTCAGGACATGCAGTTGTCCCTATATGTTAGCAGATTATAAGGAGCGCTGCTGACATTTTAGTAGTGGATAAGAGGGTTTGAGCGAAGGATTTTTGAAGATGAAAACGGGTAGGATGAGGAGAGTGGGGCAGACATACAGGTCAGTTTGTGCACACATGCATCACTTGTGTGTCTGTCTTTAAGTTGGCTGGTGGCAGGAGGGAATTGGCTGCCCTTTGCTAGCATTTTGGTGCGGCAGCCCAGTCAGTAGGCTTCTGTCTCAGAGCATGCCTGGCATGGACCTGGGCAGCACTGATAAGCTTGCGTGTACACACACCCACACCATCATGCACACACATTTAAAGTCAATTGGACTTCCCAGAGACAGATGCACTCTGTTTATGTAGATATTTTCTTCTTTTCTTTTCTGGACAAGTACATTTTGACAAAATGAGAAATAAAGTTTTTGAGAGACCTGCTGTTGAGTGTTTTTCTTCATTTACACTTAGTGCATTAACATGTTGCTGACCTTTTTTGCTACTTTTAGCAGGTTGCTTCTCTTCAAATATGCCACACATTCTGCTTTGTATTTGGCTCTCTTTATACTGTATTTAGGGAACATCACTAAAGCCAGATGTAACTCCCCCTGCAGAAGAAAGCCTGCTCTGAGCTGCACATCTCTCATCTTCTAAGCTGTCTTAGAAATGTAAAGCCTTTTCCCTCAGTAGCTCCCAATAATGCCCTTTAATTTCCTCTGCCAATGACAAACACCTTTGTAATATTTCTCTGTCCCTCAGTATGTCTGAGGACTACTGTTGGATATGAAGGCCTTTTTTCCTTGCCCTTTCAGGTTGTCCCAGATTTCTCAAATATTTTTTTTATTGATGTTCCTGCTGTTGTCCATCAGTCACATGTCATGGGAATGGCCTCAAAGTTCTGTAAGGGGTATTGCGGAGCCTGATGAAGAACCTGGTATTCAGATTCTGATGTTATGTGTGACTGCCATTTTGCTGTGCTGTTTTTCCACTCTTGCATGTTCTTGGAAATATTCTCCTTTTTCTTTGAAGCAGAGGGACATAATGAGTGATCTGTATTTGTTTAAGCCTGAGGGCAAGTCAGGCTATGAGATGGAGGATGGCCCACTTGGCTCTGGACTATGCCTGTAGTTTTCTGCCTCTGGGTATCTGGAGCACCAGTAATCTGAGGGTTTCCTTATTGGTTGAGCGTATTTGATCTAATCAAACAAATATTGGCATTTAGTATGTGCCTCCTTGCATTTATGTTTGATTTGCGGATTCGAGATCCAATCCAGTAGAAACCCTTGGGGGATTTTCACACATACTGAAAAAGTGGAGACGGTGTTGGTTTTATTGCTGTCACAACATGCTCTCTCAAATGGAAATTAACCACTGTGTCATTGCTCAGTGCATACGATTATCTTACATTGGGAATAAAGTCCATGTAAATTATGACTACATACACATGGGATTTTGTGCATTCATTTTTTTGTTTTTATCTGAAAACTGACTGTGACGTGCCACTTATGGCCCTTTATATAAGGCTTTTTTTTTTCTTGATGGACACTCCCTGATAATGAGTTGTCAAATGGAGTTAACGATATCTAAACCCAGTGAAATGTGTGTAACGAATCCCTGCCGTGATAAGAACTCAGGAATAAACAGGGAAGAGATTGCAGAGAAGAGGAAGGATTATTTCAGACGCTTGCCTCAGAGAGAGTTGCTCCCTCTTCTATTAGCTGCTCAACGGAGAGCCTCTTGGCAGTTTTCAGAGCTGCCAATAAAGGCGACTCTGTGCAGTAATGATGCTGCTGGTTTGCCTGCTTGCTTCCCCATAGCTTGGCCTTCCAACCTGATTAAGTCCTCAGACGGTGATTTGGCTCTGGGGAGCAGCTCAGAATTTTCTCGCAGGCATGTGAACTTCTGCTCACTGTGACATTCGCTGAGAAGAGGATGGCATGTTAAGCGCCCCTAGATCTCCAAGCAAAGTGTATGGATGGAGTTGCACAGTGCAAGCACTGTAGAACATAAGTTGTTTAGATAAAAAATTTGTTCACATTTGGAAGATACATTTGTGTCCCTGTTGGGGTCACGATGATAAATGTGCATTCGCTGGCAAGATCAAGCCAGTGCTTAAGGATGTGTTTTAGTGTGTTGGGTCTTTTGCAGCCCTCCTGAATAATTAAAAAGCACCAAATACTCAGTTATTGCAATAATCCTTGCAGTAAAATCTCACAGCCTTAAGCAAGACCACAATTCATGGACATGTCACTGGACCGAATGGCCCAGAGAAGGCCTCTTGTCATGTGAAACAGGTTCTTAGGTTGTGTTTGTGGCAGTGTTGCTTTTGGAGGGTTTTCATGCACACCTGATGATGACTTATGTGGTGCCCTGGCGTTGTCAATGCTATGGAGACGGATGGGCCCGAAAGACCTCAGGAGTGTGGCTATAATTGTAATGGATGGAAGGGAGCACGATGCATGTATCTCTCTTAAAAATTCACAGGCTTGGTAGTTGACATGGACACCTGAGGTGGAGTGAGAGATTATGAGCCTCTCTCTATAGTTCACTCTCACCGGATCTCTCTGCAGGGCATCAATAAGCTCTAATCAGAGCCGCACACTGCCTGTGCAGCCCAATCTATGGCACTACCTGCCTCTACCTTCTTATTCTCCTTCTATTGAGTCTGGAAGAATGTCAGTAGCTCAGCCCCTGTGGCCCAGCCCCTCAAATTAGACCTGGAAAATTTGCTGTGACAATCGTGGTTGGCAGGTGCGAAACCTCAGGTATTCATAATTGTTATGTTAAAAAAGAAACGGGGCTTTGTATTTGCTGAAAAGTGGCTGAAATTGAATTTGTAGGTACAAATGAGTTTGTGACTCCTCTCCTATTCGACTCTGTAATTGGATTAGGTTGTAGATGGTGTATTTGTTTACTATTGTCACAGAGTGGATTACGGAGATGTCTTCCTTCATGCCAATAAATAATACATCTCAGCAGCAATGGGAGTGTGTCTTGTTATTTCTTGTGCTGCATCTATATCTGTCGAGCAAAAGTATTCATTTTTGTTTCCCAGAGCAGAAGAATATCCTTTTACACAGCTTGTATCTGTTTTTTGGTGCCAATTTAAATAAATAAGGCCCTCATTCAGCATGTGCTGTCAGGTAAATTTGGACCCACAGTGATGATGCACACTTTTACAACATTATTTCAGCTATTAATATAAAAAAAAAACTTTATTCTGTGATGTTTATTGGCAGGAGAGCCCTATTTAGTTTAATCAGGTGTATCTGAGCTTTTAAAATGTTCTAGGCAGAGGCTTGCTGGATAAAAATTGCACAAACGAGCGGCCTATTTAAATGGAAAAGCATGTTTCTTTATTATTCTTGGCAACAATGAGACTGAATTGAATAAAATTAATTTACTTCCAGGTATGTGCGCGTGAAGGAGATGGAGAAAAGAAGATAGCAAAAAGGAACCAGTGAAGGGTTTGGGATTTTCTGGATGCACTGTACATCATAAAAGGAACATAATACAAAGGAAGAACATCAAAGGTCTGTCACATCACTGACGATACTACCTCTGATAACATTCTCTTTAAAACAAAACTTTGAAGTTGCATGCTCCCCTTTTGAGAATCTCCCTAGATGTCCATTGAGAATTTGTGGTGTTTCTTTGTATTTTGCAGGAGCAGTTGACCTTGTCTGTGTGTTGCTTTAATTGGACAGCTGGAATTGTTTAATGGAAGGATTTCTTTCCCCCTTAAATGACTTACAAAAGGTGAGATCCAGAGTTTACCAAAGTATCAACAGTGTAACTGTCAGTAGCACAGTATCAAAGTCATTGAACACAGAAACAGAAGCCACATACACCCACCACTCTGCTTCAGTCTTCCAGCTCCGTTTAGCTTCTGTGCTTACAGTATAGGGGAAGATCAAATTAGCACCCAAAAAATGCTGAACGTTTTGCATGTGTGTGATAGCGACCCCCGCTTTTATCAGCTTTAATTGAAGCGCCTTGGTGGTGCAAGTCTGTGGGAGGAGTCTATTTTCAGCCTCCTTTTTTTTTTCCTTTCCTGGCTCCATCCTGCTCTCTCAGTCTGTCTGCTGCAGAGATTGCACCATCTCTGTCTTCTCGCCTTCTATAAACAGTGCTTTTTAACAGGTCCCTCTGGCCAGCTCTCTCCACAGGCTGTTTGGTTACGTAACTGTGCGCTGCTCTCGTGCTGATGCTGCTGGTGCCCCCCTCTCTCGCTCCCCCTCTGTCCGCACCGTGCTGCAGTTTAATTGTCTGGCGGAGAAGGCCTAGGCCTGGGCCTTGAGGCCTTTGGGGTGGATGAGGGGCCAGCTACTGCTGAGCAGGGAAAGCCTCACTTTAGATCAGTGCAGTGTCCGCTTTTGCAGCTTACACCCCTCTCACACTGCACTTTTCCTTTGAGCACCCAGGCTTTTTTCTATTTTCTTTATTTTTTTGGAGGCTTTTTCCAATGTTATTCTTGATAAGAGGTCTGGACTGGTCCTGGGAGATTGAAGAGGATCGGAGAGCTTGTGTTTAATGTATGCTTTAGAGCCAGAGAGAGAGAGTAGAGAGAGTGGCACGAGCAAACATGCGGCGAGTGCTCGTTTGGAATTTTGGTATGAGATTCTGTCTTGCTTTTTGATTTGCATAAGTCTGACACAGTGATATCTGTGTTGGAGTCTCTGTCCATGACTCTGTTCTGTGCAAATTCTCTTTGTGTTTCAACCAGTCCTGCCCTCGGAAGCAGACTTGGACAGCTGATAAAATTGCTGTATATACTAAGAGATATACCTCTTGGAGGAATTGGAACAATATCTTTTGGAAGATACTATTCCGTCATATATATATATATATATATATAATATATATATATATATATATATGTATATACACACATACATATATATATATATATATATATATATATATATATACACACAAAATTGGTGAACCCTCTTTCAAAATCACTGCTTTTTTCTCTTTCCATCTTGATCCAAAATCGAGGTTAACAGCTCAGCAGCTCATTTTTATACATGCCACAGAGTATGGTGGGATGTCAATTGCTTAATTGTATGATGCAGTATACCTGTCTGGAAGCATCTGCACTCATTACATTTCTCTTAGTCATTACTATCTGAATTGTGTCTGTTTTGTCACACTGAGTGACAAAACCTGCCAGACTTTGACGAAGACTGGTCCAAACCAGACTCAAGGACTCCATGGACGGTTGTCCAGCATTGATTTTCCCAGTGGTGAAATTGATAGTTTTGCCTGAGCAATTGTTTCCACTTTCTGCAGGTCTCTGTCCCACACAGTCTTGGCTGCCCCCACAGTCGCTTTAAGAGCAGCTGACTCGTTTAGTTAGCTGAGGTCTGCCTGCAATGGAGGGAGAAACGTGTTTCCAGTTACAGACAAGATAGACTACCTGATAGAAGTCACTTTCT